CCAGAAAATCTATAAATAGAGCCCTCTTTCTCATGAGAGGAGGGCCGAAGCAAGAAGAGAAGGAAGAGGAGAAGGAGGAAGCTCCTCCTCGACGGCCGCTGGACCACCGCCGGACCACCGCAGAAGCACCGCCGGACCTCCGCCGGACCGCTGCAGGAACCTCGCCGGACCACCGCAGGAACCTCGCCGGACCACCACCAAAGCCTCGCCGGAGTTTCATTGCACCACTGCCTTAAGGTCCGACGTTCAGGCCCTACGTCCTGTTGAAGACACGACGTCCTGCTTAAGGCCCGACGTTCAATCCCTACGTCCTGTTGAAGACCCAACGTCCTGCTTAAGGCCCGACGTTCAGTCCCTACGTCCTGCTGAAGACTCGACGTCCTGCTTAAGGCCCGACATTCAATCCCTACGTCCTGCTGAAGACTCGACATCCCGCTTAAGGCCCGATGTTCAATCCCGACGTCCTGCTTAAGGCCCGACGTTCAGACCCGACATCCTACCCAAGGCCAGACCATCAACACCCGATCTTCCAAGTGACACTGGGTCTAACACCTGACTCCTTGTTTTCTATCGCCTACAGTCCTTCTGACCTCTGTCGCCTACTACGGTCCGTCCGACCAACATCACTAGACAACGATCTTTCAGACCCCAGTTTTCTATCGACTACGGTCCTTCAGGCCTTCGTCGCTTAATATGGTCCTTCTGACCTCCATCAACAAACAACAATCTTTCTGACCCCGTTTTCCTGCCGACTACGGTCTCCTGCCGACTACGGTCCTTCAGGCCAAACAAACATGTATATGTAACTCCCCCATGTAATGCAATCTATATGATGTACATTTGCTACATCAATCCAAGGCCTTCTCCCAATGAAGGGCCTCATTTGTAATCGACTGCAAATACTAGTGGATTCATTCAAACTGGGCCAGGCCCCGTGGTTTTTCCCCCTTTTTAAGGGTTTTCCACGTAAAAAACTCTGGTATCTCTTATGAATGCTACACCCTCTCACTTATCTGATTGTGTGCTGGATCTTCGTACAATGCTAAGACATTAAACTATATTTCTCTACCGCCGCGAATATTCCAGGACGCAACAATAATACTTATAATAGTTGAGATATATATTTTCTCACAACAATTCTGCAGATGCTTTTATGGAGCTTTAATAACCCCAAACGGAGGTAGTTGTTTGCAAGGCTCTTAAAATCGGATCGGACCGGCCGGTTCAACCAGTTGAACAACGAACCGGCTGCCAGCCGGTTACGGTTCACTTTAAAACCGGTTTCGCACAAAACTGGTACTAACCCGTTCGAACCGGCGGTTACTCACAAAAATGATGAAAAAATTGCCCCAAAAGAATCTTCATAAATAATGATAAAAAAGCCACGTAAAGTCAATTCTTGAGATTTAGGCTTCGCTTGGGACAGCTTTTTTATTTCTTTCTAAAGCAGCTTTTTAGTACAAAAATTTATGGTTCGAGAAATTTTTGTACTAAAAAACTGCTTTAGATGTCCCAAACAAAACCTTAGGGATAAGAAAGAAGCAAATTCTAGTTTAGAAGCAGATCTTAAAGCTACTTACCTCAACCTGGTCATGATCATACTGTACCAAGAAGGTACAGCTGCAGCCCCTTATATCATGACTTGTTCTCTCAATTGAAACAACATGTGCATCAAAGTGGTAGGCAGTTTCATCTTTCTCCTACAGAAAGAAGAGAAATTTAAGAGAAATTGGTTGTTGAAGTTCATAATGTCCAGTAAATAGCAATAAATTACCCGAAAACAGAGAAGAATATCTCCTTCATTAACTCTCCAGCATTCTGAAGCTTCCATAGGTATGGATCGATCTCGAACCGCCGTTGCGACATTGACCCATTCATCTTCATCAGGACCAAAACCAGCAAATCTCACACGAACTTCCTATAATGAAAACAATTACAGAATGTTGAAATATGTTGTTAACCAATGATGCACTGATACAAACACAACATGGACATATGTTTCTGACATTGCATTAGGGCTGTCAAAACCGGGTTACGGGCCGGGTTCGGGTCCAACTCAAAACTATTCGATCCGACCTGTTTTTGCAAACAGGTCTGTTTTCCAAACCCGAACCCGACCCGCTTCTGATATGTTTTATTAATTTTTTTATTTAATTCTATTTATTTAAACCTAAATCAAATTAAGGTAAGATTTACTTCAATCAATTTAAAATAAATCAAACTTAATTTAACTTGGGCAACAATATTTTTTATGTTTTAGAAAATATCATTTACTTATTTCATAACGATTTTAAAAACCCTCCTAAATTAATTAAAAACGGGTCAAACTGGGTTAATTTCGGGTTTCCGGGTCAACCCAAACCCAACCCGATTTTACAAACGGGTTGAAATCTCTAACCCAAACCCAACCCGGTTCGGGTTCGGGTTGACCTGAACCCGAAATTTTTTAGTCGAGTTTGGGTCGAATTTCGAGTTGGGTCAAATATTGACATCCCTACATTGCATAATACTTTCTAATAGTAGTGTTAGATGCATCTTAACTGCTAAGGATTGCCATATTGACCAAGAAAATGCCAAGGGGTTATGCAAAGGTGCTCAAAGTGTTAACACTTTGCTAGGTTTAGCAAAATTGTAGATTCTCTCATGAACCTAAACAATCAAGTATTTATTGTTAGTTGATAAATGTAACACTAGATTGGGAGCTAGTTAGGCCTCGTTTGATTCGTCAATATTCTAGAAAAAGTTTGTTTTAAAGTTGTTGTCAAGAAAATGGAGTTTCAAAAATAACGTTTTAAAATAATTGAGTTATTATATAATATTGTTTGGTTAAATTATTATTTTTTGTGCTTATTCAAACTTTAAATTATATAATTAGGCTTCGTTTGGTTCTTCCTCTCCTTTTGTAAAAGATAGTTTTATAAACAATGGTTAAGGCAATGGAGTTTTCTAACGTAAAATCAAATATCAAAAAGCTTCTCAAAACAGTAAAAAAATAAAGTTCCCTAAAAAGCATTTATGTAGAAGCATCCCATCCAAATAGCGACAAAAAAATAATTTCTCCTTTTAGAAACGGAAAAGGAAAAAAACCCCGAAACAAACGTCTTAATGAGTCCTTAATGAGTTATAGTGATTCTTAATAGTTCATTGCTTATCAGGCTTATTAGTTTCTCATTTAATTATTAGGAGCATGTGATTTCTATGAAAACTCTTCAGATGGAAATATTAGGGTTATGCAGATGAATGAAGAAAACTTTCGCTGCTCTCTCACTGCTCCAATGATTGCCTGGAGTTGTGGTCATCCTCAAATTTCCTCTTTTCTTCCACCATTGGTTTCTAGGCAAGATCAAAATTGCTTACTTATCCTATATTTATTGTAATTTCTATGTTTTCTGCATTTTTAATGTTTTTGGTTCATAACAATGTTCTAAACTCTAAGGGCTCATTTGGTTGTTTGTAAATTAAAAACAAGTTATAAAAGTGGCAATTTCATTTCCCCGCTTGATGTGTGGAGCTAAGTTTTTGCTTATGAGGGATTTCAGATTTGTGGAATTTTGGACCCCACGTTGATTTCCTCTTACATAATGGAATCTAAAATAATTATCATTTCCTTAAAAAAAGGTTTGCTACCTACAAGCAACCAAATGTTCCCTTAGGATTTAAGTTGGAATCCAAAAATAGAACAGAGGAAAACTATGGAATTTGCCAAGTTACGTTGGAAACTGATAGGAAATAACCACAAAAAACAGATAAAACTGCTGAATTTCATTTCAGAGAAATTCAGCAATCATAGTGCAGATTTTATAAAATCTGTTGCAAAAATCACGAAGAAAACTCTTGAAATTCAGTAATAGAAGAAAAGAAACAACCCGACACAACGAATATTCAATTCGAGAGAAAGATTCAGCTCTCCAAATCTCTAACCAAAGTCTAGAGCCCCAAAACAATACCAAGATCTCAAATTTCAAATTTAATTCAAGATAACCCTAGTCTTAACAAGAAGAAACTAATTAAAGCAAAAGGACAAATTATTAATCCCTAAACAGCCCTTAATTTGAATTTTTCCTACAACCCAAAGCTTCATTTGTGCGTGGGTCCCATCCAATCAGCCACCCCACTCCCTGGTTCCGCACCCCCTTTCGCCCGCCTCCTGTAAACGTGAACCTGTCCATCGGTTCAGCCGGCCCTTGGGCCGGTCTAAGAGAAACATAAAAAGATTGAACTCCTCTCAAGATGCACGGAATGAGATTAAAAATTCCTTAATATAGAGAAACTTTTACCATACCAGGACATGGAAATACAGATAATCGAAGGACACTGAAGCAGTAACGATGATGCAACAGAAGATCAAAGTGGCAACGGTCAACTACAACTGTTTCTATAATGGAGAAGATAATGAAATTGGTTCATGAGCATCTCTTAAATCTTCATCATGAACAAATTGAACATAGGACGTAGAATACTGAAGACTCAATCATGACCCCATCAAGCATCTTACATATATTTATTTAATCAAATACCATTTTGCCTAAGAGACACAAAACAAGTATGCAAAAGACCTTCCAAGCAAGGTTTGCACACTATGCTCTCAGCACATCATGGAGTATTTAAACTTTAGACGTGGACAATTTGCTAGAAAGACAATTCAAGACTACTCTTGATGGCTTATTCCCAGCAGAAATAATTAGAAGGTACATTTTTTTTTAGTCACTTGGAAACTGTTAGTCTGGCCCAGGAGGGGCCAGCTGAACCAGTCCAACCTGGACCGGTTCTCTGCTACAGCAGGCGGCCCAAACCAGGTGGGGGAGGAACCAAGGGGAGGGGGGTGGATGCCCTAGTGGGACCAATGGCTTAATGTAATCGTTGTTTAGAAGGAAAAGTTTGAATTAAGGGTTGTTTAGTCGTTTTGTAAGAGTCTTTGGACTTTAATTAGTCTTTTTGATTAGGGTTTGATTTCATGCTAAATTTGGAAGAGATTTCAGATATAAGGTTTGTTCTTCTTGGGCTCTAGGCTTTGCTAGAGATTTGAAGAATTGTTTCTTCCTCTCGAATCAAAGAAACTTGTATCTTGTATTGTTTTTCTTGTTCGTGGATTGAATAGAAGAAGTTTCATTGTGTTTTTTTTCCAGTTTTTTCTGTAATTTATGCTTCGTCTTGCTGATTTCTCTCTGAAATCAGCAAGATTTGCCGCTGTTTTCACCAATTTCTGTTAGGTTTGCTTGCAAACTCAAATATTTCCCTTAGGGTTACTTGCGAACTCAAGTATTTCCTATCAGAAACTCAATGCAGACCAAAATCATTAACATATTTGGCACAGATTTAGGCCCAAAGGCAAGGTAATAGCAATCTTTTTGTAGCAGTTTCTTGAACTTAATTTAAGGTTTAATGGAAATGTTTGAAATCCATAATTTGTCCTAACTATCTTTGCCAGAAAATGGTAGTAACAAGGTATATCAGATCAAACTATTATCATGAGTTGTACAAAGGTAAGTAGTATAGTTTAACATATTCACATAAAACAGTAGATATATAATAAAAGGGCCAGGGGAAAAAAACCTAAAACAACAGCAAAATAATTTGAAAAAGGTACAAAAGAGGAATTCAGATGCCGTCGATGATTCTTACAATTTCTCCAGAACTGAGAACTCTATGTGCAAGAAATGTGGAAACATCATACCTACAGGGGCAGGAACTGAATCATTGCTATGAAAATAAATAACACAAGCTTAAAGGAAACACAAATCAGTATTTTAAATAAACACGCTTTCATGTAAGAATGGCTGTGAATTCTCAAATTTATTTGTTGTAAAGGTTTGCGTTGGAACACTAAAGTAATTGAAGACTAAGGTTTCGTTTGGGACAGCTTTTTACTGCTTCTTGAAATAACTTTCTAGCATAATTCTTTTTTTACTAAAAAGCTACTTTAAGAAGTAGTTAAAAAGTCGTCCCAAACAAAACCTAAATAATGAAACTTGCTTAAACAAAATCATTGGATTTGCAAAAAAAAGTCCTGTTTGAAACCAAGTTTAGTCCACTGTTTCAAAATTGGTTGAAACTCATAAACATCATGATATAGGGATCCTGTAGGTAGAAACAGGGTTAAAAAACCTTATTTAGAGTGCTAACTCATTAGGAACTACAGCGTACCTGTGTTATTAATGAATAAGCCCAACCAAATAACTATGCAGGATCTTTTAGTCATATAGTATTACATAAACAAGGCACCAGGACTAGAGAGAAACAAGGCTGATGCAGCTACACGCCTTTTCTTTGGCGTGTTTTAGCAAGTTAAAGCAACCAAGTTATTCCATTTCAGTGTGATCCAGTCCAAAAGAGAAAAGTGCAAAAATCGATAATATAACTAATTATATTAGAGTAAATAATGGAAAGGAAGCTAAATCTTTATTTCATTTATTCGAATTCAAATAATAGTACTCCAAAGTAAAAATATTGATACAAGCAAAAGAAATATAGATAGAACAAATAATATGAAAGAAACTACCCAATTCAGAAGTCAAACATATAATGGTCTACTACAAAATATAGAATATCAAATATAGTCTACTATTGATAACTCTGCTCCTAAAGTGGTGTTTCACCTAGCACTCCCATAGGACCAGCTAAATCAAACTTAGCAAGTAACTCCTCTATATCATAACATAAATGACAGAAATAGGGCATGCAGTATGAACAATCAAAAGGTGGGAGTAGAAACATATAGTCACTATATCCAAGTAGCAATAACACATGTCGTATCACCTACAATAGAAATATGCTGGTGTATATAAGACACTACCCAAAGATTTCGCCCTCATTTTGTAAGGACTTTATGATATGAGTTCTGGTTTCCTATAGGCGCAAGCCCCTATAGTTAATTACCCCTCCCGATCACGGGAGAGAACTTTCGATTAAGGCTAGTCGTCAATTAGATACGTAGAAGATACATGTTATCTGGCATATAGTAGCAGCATGGGCATGATGTTTGGAAAGGTTGAAGATTGATATTTAAAATTTGAAATTGCACCATCTTTCACTTAAAGCAGATGGTGGGAGAATGGATGATGGACCCGATCAAGATCTCATGGTTCCGTCATCCCGGGCCATTGTGGTACCTGTTCTACTTAGTCAGAGGAGGTAGTCGACCCAACCTGACAAAAGGATCCTTGTCGGCAGTCATGGGTTGCTTCGTCCAAGGGGACCTTATAGACCTGGGGTGAGTATTTGTCTAAGGGAATAAATTTGAATCCACCTTAGCTAACAGAGGGCTTTATGCCTTATCGATCATATCTTATTGATTCATTTCTTAAGGATTTGATGTCATTAAGGAACGTATTGGCTCTGGCCATAACCAATATTTTTTGTGCCATTTGGCGGCAAAACCACTTGGTTCAAAGGGCCCCGGGTCATAACTGTTTATCCTACGGTGCCATTTGACGGCAAAACTGCCGGTTAGAGGATAGCACCACGTCCTTACTGGCAAGAGATTATTTGAGAATGGATCCTAGTGATATTTTCAGCTAGGCATTAGCTCTAAGTAAGCCGAAGTAATTTTTCAATTTGTCCACCCCGGCAAACTGTTGCGGGGGGTGGATGAATTTTGCTTTAAACATTGATGGTTGAATTTTCATTTTAAATATTTTAGATTTTGGAATGATCTTTGAGATTTTAGAATTTTGGGTATTTGAGTAGAGCTCGGAAGGCATTTGAAAGTGCTTGTGAATCCCTCTAGTTGAGATAAACATTCAACACGGCCATCATCGAGGTATTTTTGGGGTCATTCGTTGACTAAACCTTGTCGACCATATCAACTTACCAACAGGGGATCGGGTTTCTTAGGCTTTGTGGCTTTGTTTGAGAATTTTTCTTTATTGAAGACCTTGAAGGCCTAATATGAATGCATAAAATAAATATCTCAGTCAACCTCGTGATCGTATATTTATTTAATGGTTTGAGCCATGTCAACTCCAATCCATTCTCATAGAAGAATAGGGCTCAAACTTATGTTTATTATTTGACCCGCGCAGCATCCCTAGACATCATGTATTTATCAATAACACGCTCGCTGGGGCCCATGCGGGTGTTTGGAGGCATTTTATAGTTATTTTGTTGAACCTTGTCAACTCCTATTTACTAGCTTAGGAGGATCGGGTTCAAATTTATTGACCCACGTAGCATCCCTAGACGTCATGTGTGTACCAATAACACGCTCACTGGGGCCCATACGGGTGTTTGGTTGTATTTACCCCATGTGTACCTATGTGTAACAAACTACGGTGCACGTACGGGGGTATTATTGGAATATTTATAGACGTCTTATGTCCGCTTGTATGAATGTTGCGGATCTGGTGGTGTGGCATTATAGTCTTGTGGATGCCTTATGTCTGCTCGTATGAGTGTTGCAGATCTTGTGGCATGACGTTGTAGATTGTAGGCGCCTTCTCCCTGCTTATATAAGTGTTGCAGATCCGGTGGTGTGGCATTGTAAATTGTAGACGCATTCTATCTGCTTATATAAGTATTGCATATCGGTTGCATGGCGTTGTAACTTGTAGACGCCTTCTGTCTGCTTGCATGTGTGTTGCAGATCCAGTGGCATGGCTTAGCAGCTTCTAGATAGAGTTGTTTGCTGCATTGTACATGTAGACTATCATGCACTACTTGTTTATCTGCATGTGTATTGTAGTGCACTAACGAATCTCCTGCTTTTTTGGTAGAGGTGAATCGTAGCTTATCACCTGAATTTCATGAGATATTTCATTATTTTGATACAGACCCCCTTTTCTCATTCGTCGGGAGGTCCTTCTTGAAATTCGTGATTGCTGCTTTGAAAAGAACTCCTTTTAAGATCTTTAGTGCAGTAGACCTCCGCATAGTTGGCCTTCGAAATGAATAGATGTATCTAGGTGCACTTGTTATTTCCAGTATTCGTGGATGTTAGAACTATTTTCTTCCCAAGTTTAAAACCACAAAGAAATTTTGGAACACCATGATGTTTAGTTCGAATTTGCCCAAATATCTCTTCCATTCTGCCGGAGGTGTCCTTCTCCGTACATCGAGTTATCTTCATACTCGACATACTCATAAATCTCAATCACCGTTGTTATAGGTGATATATGTACTTGTGTCCACAAGGGCTCGTTGTATTTACGATATACCCATTGTTGCTATCCACAAGTGGGTCATGTTTATCTACAGTGACTCGTTGTATTCACTACGGCCTCCTGGAAATGTTCGTAGAAGAACCATTGCTCCTGCATTATATTCACCTTTCACCAATCTTAGGCGGTATGATGATTGTACTTGTTTGTAGGGACGAGTCTTCCACGATCAAATGCCGGTATTGTCATCTCAATCTACTGGCAAAGTTGCTAGTGTCGTTGTAGTCTTCTTACATATGTTTATAGGATATCCAACATATCTTTGACACATTTGCATTATCACTTCTTAATGCGCTAGGGCCTAGGAGGATTGATGTGTTTTCTTAAAGTTAAGTCGTTGTTGATTGCAATTCGGAGACATTGATTATATGTAGATTGCATCAATCGTCATTATTCATAGGTATTGCATTGTATTTGTCACCCACCAACTTCTCTTGTTTGTAGAAAGCTTGATGTGCTTGCAATCAAATGGCGATTGAATTCGTATGAAGACCTCTTGCTACGAGTCCCCTATTTGCATATGAATAATTCCTTTGGAATATTATCCACCACAACTCTTTCATTTGTTTATTGATATTCATCATTTCATTTATTCCTTGATATTGCTCACAATCTTTATTAAACTTCCGCTCAAATGGATTGGACTGTAACTTAGCATCTTGTATTTTCAATTTAATGTGCATTTTAGAACTTAAAAGTCAATCTGGTTCCTTGTAGTTCTTGTTGTTCATTCAAGTTCAATATGAGTTCAGAACAAGTCCCATGTTGTCCAAATCAAACTCAAGTCTGAGTTCTTTCAAGTCCAGTTCAAACCAAGTTCATAAGCTCAATGTGCAAGCTCAAATTCTATGTCCACGTACAGTCATCTGAAGACTTTGCAAGTTCAATTGCAAGTTCAAATTGATTTGAATTTAGCTCCAGTTTGATTTTATTTTATTTGGGATTGACATTTTATTCGTCATTTATATTTTATTCAGGTTCAAGTCCATAAGTCCACTGTTCATTTGAGTCCAAATCAGGTCCGAATGCAGTCATATATTCACCCGAAATTTCGGCAGCCTCCCGACATCTTCCCCGTTTAGAGAAAAACTACGAAAAATTGAGCCTCCCATCATGCTAGAGAAAAGCGTATACAGTAGGTGCCCTCGTATGAGAACACCGCGGCCGTAAAATCGTCATTCCCCACCACGTTAAGAAAAGCGTGCATGGGTCTTCGGTATCTATTATAAGAAAAGTAGTTGTTTCCCCGCAGGTACAGAGTTGCATACGGGTACTTAAGAGTTGTCCTAGCCACGCTAAGAAAAGCGTACATTAGGCCTACCCGCCTCGTCGCATGCGTCACACCGGGTTCCCCCCTATCACGCTAAGAAAAACGTGTATAGGTGGTTGACCGGCTCGTTACACACACCGAGGACAGGATTTTAGTGTCAAGGGGTCGCTGACCTACCTCGTCGTAGGTGTCGCACCAGGTTCTCTTCCCACCACACTAGATAAAAGTGTGTATGGGCGGTTTGCTGGCTCGACACGCACATCGAGATAAGAGAGGGATTATTTTTGATTTAAAATTAATTAGAATTAATTATAGTTTAATTTAAATTAATTAAAATAAATATACAACTAATTATATTAATTATAATTAGTATTTAATTAATAATGATTAATTATAATTATTAATTAATTATAATTAAGTTTAATTAACTGTCATTAATTTATAATTAATTATAATAATAATAATAATAATAATAATAATAATAATAATAATAATAATAATAATAATAATAATAATAATAATAATAATAATAATAATAATAATAATAATAATAAACTTAAAATGCCCAAAGGGCTGCTCTGTAACAGAATTTAGCCGAAGAGGCGCACGGCAGGGAGAAGGTTAACCTCACGGCCAGTCAAGATATATATTTATAAGAATAATATTTAATATAATATATAAATTTATAATATTAATATTTTATAATATAGTTATTATAATATATATTATAGTAAATTTATAATATATATCATTCAAATTTATAGTCCAACTAAAAAAAAATTTAAAGCCCAAATAAAAAAAAATTTGAAGCCCAACTAGCCCAAATAAGCCCCAAGTCACATTCTAAACTATTCATGCAACTTCTTTAGTCCCACATCATAGGGGGAGTTTAAAGATGTTTCCTTGAACCCTTTATAAAGTGAGAAGTACACTCTCTTTGCAAAATAAATTATGTGAGGTATCTAAGATAACTTGTATGTATTATGATGAAATTAATCATCATATTTAATAAAAATATTTTTAAAAGTTTAAAAAATTTTAATAAACAAAAATATATTTTAAAAATTTTAATTAAAACAAAAATAAAATATTTTTATGAACTGGCAGATTCTTTCCAACCCGGACCGGTTCAACGGTTCACCCGTTGAACTGCCGGTTCAATCCGGTTCTATGCAGAGCCGGTTTTGAAGCTGGATCGGACCGGCCACCAGACCGGTTCACGGTCGAACCGGTTGAACCGGCCGGTTCGATCCGGTTTTCAAAACCTTTAATTTTATAGTTTAAATATGACGAAATTTTATTTCATTAGGCCAATATAATATTTATTGCATTCAATAAGAGTATGTGCATTAAAATATAAAAATTGATAAACATGAGTTTATACAACAATAAATCCAGAATAATCTATTTATGGAACTTGCTAGTTCAAATGAGCATGAAAAGATCTATACAAGTGTTGGCAAATAATCAATAAATTTCACAATAATGATAGGATTGGTGGCTTATGCTATTATCAAATGACCTAAATTCAAATAGTATGAATTCCCTAACGAAGAAGTATACGCTTATCCCAAAATAAATAATAGTTACTTACCTTTAGATGAACGACACAGACTCCAAGCCTACTAGATATTCAACCAACAAAGCTACGAGTGCAACTACTCGAAAGACCTATAAGAAGTGAATCTAAAAATAATATTAAGCACGCACTTCAAGGTATAATTATGAATATACTAATAAATTTTTAGTCACCGAAAATACCAAACCAATTATCAATAAATGTGATATAAAATATGACCTAACAAGACACCTTATGAAGACCAAAATTAAAAGATAACTTCACAAACAATTTTAGATTAATATTACATCTAAAAGATATAAAATAATATAGAGTTTGATCAAATCCAACATCAAGAAATTTAAGTCTATACAATAGAACTGAAAGAACTCTTAAGTAGGTGATTAGAAACAAAACAAGAAGAAAGAGAATGTGAGGGAAACCTCCTTGTAAAAGGAGAGAAGATTGAAAGACGTTTGCCGATATTTGTTATTGCAAGAAAGGAGCAAAGAGGGGGGAGAAGGAAGAATTTTGGCTGCTGCAGAGAGGCAAGGGAAGGATAATAAGTGATGTCCTAGCCTCCCATTAGCTTTAATGGCGAGAGGAGAGTCAAGAGCAGGAAAATTGAGATAGGAGGCGGGAGGATCGCGTGACGATCGCGATTGGAAAGATAGAGGTCACGTGAAAGGCATTCGGCTTTGATCGGCAATTCACGTGCGTGACAGGGAGCAGGACGGGTCGGTTCGTGTGAAACATATAGACCGGTTCAATCCAGGCTCGGCTATTACATTTATTGCGTGATTTCTATCATTATTCTTTTCATATACTTTTTTGGTGATTAGCGTATGCATGACTAAATTTTGTAAAGTGGGGTATATGTTGGATTACTTTTTTTGATGTGTGAATCTTCATCATTTATGAAATTTTATAGTTGCTATTAACTTGTGAGATTTCAAATTTTGGATACTAATACAATATTGTTTGGAATGAAATAGGTATTCAATATTTTTGTATTAAAGGTGACTAGTTTTTTTTTTAAGTTGAGAGTTGATGATTTACGAACTGTGATTTTTTATTTACTTACATTATGCATCTAATCCTAAGTTGCATTATTGAATTCTAAACCCTTCAACATCCTGAATTGTGGAGTCAACTGCCAGGCCTAGTTTATTTATTCAATATTTTAATTTAAAAAAAAAAAATAACCTGCCAGGCCTAGTCACAGTAAAATGCTCCAAAAGAGCAACAGCTACTATCAGGGAGCTGCTCACATTTATCTCCTTTGTCATTTATCTTTCCATTAATGGCTATGTTAGACTGGAAGAAACATGATGAAACTTGAAAAAACCTGAGGGGCGGCAAAGCCAAACTTGAAAAGGATAAAGTGATGACAACAGCTGGCTCAAAACCGAATGCATCAAGAGTTCATGAACCCAAAAAAGGATTTGTGCTTGGATACTTATCATAGCAATAATGTAGCAAAGTCATGTATAAATAATTTAAGCATGAGAATTGACAATAAATAAAACAGTTTTTAAGGATTATTCGAGCTAACATTAAATGCACAAAGCTGCAAGACCTTTATCTGATGATTATAAACTGCATTTAACAGCTCATACTATTTAAATCAAACAAACAAATTCAAAAATCGATAAGAGACTACCAGAAGAGAAGAAAAACAAATCAGGGAAATAGAGTTCGATACAAAATCCTGAAATACAAGTTTAGAAATCTAACCATGCTTGATCTCTGTAGGACTTGGCTTCGAATTCCATTTCAAATCCTTCAGAAATGTCATCACAATTGTCTAGGAAAAAAATTTATTAATGAAAACGAAGTTTTGATTGCAACAAGCCCAAAATAACATAAAAGGATAAATAAAGAGCATAATCAACTAACCAAGAATAAACATTATGACAAACATTCCTTACTAGAGTTGTAATATACATCAACGATGATAATTATAGAATTTGCCGGTGACTAGTAATTCATTTTGTATACTTCCATAATTATCACCATTAGCCTTATCAATTATTTAGGTGTTATTAATAAATGAAAATTTAGGTTTCGTTTGAGACGGTTTTCTTACTGCTTTTTAAAGTAGCTTTTTAGTACAAAAATTAAAATTTTTGAACTAGAAAGCTGCTTTAAGAAGCAGTAAGAAATTCGTCCCAAACGAAACCTTAGTAATTGATCAAGTTTAAGACTGATACTCGCTTTTACAATTTGATGTGAGAAAAATGAATAAAAGAATCATGACTATCTGCATAATAATTTCAAGCTTATGCAATCTGATACCCTGTTAAACAGTCAACAGTGTAAACAGATTATGGACAGATGATATACAATCAAACAATTTCAAAATTTAATTATCAAGTGAACTAACAGATAAGAAGTGCTTCTTTAAGGTAATCAACAGTAACATTAGAGATTATGTATGGGACTGAAACAGTATGTTGACTGTCCATGAACTCCACAATTAATTTACAGCACATCTTTAAAAGATAGAATAAGAATGATGTGAGGGTGAACAGTTCTTAGTAAGAATTTTTAGTTTGCAGTTGTGCTACAAGGCGCAAAACTATGTACTTGATATAAAATTTTAGTGTGAACAATCCAGTAACTCCTTCCCTGGTTTCTACCACTTACGTATTTCTATTTTCATTATAAAAAATAACTAGAAATTTAAAAAGATAGAATATGATACAAACATCAATATGATAGAAGCACTACAAACAAAGAAACCATGATTCTTCCATTTGATTAAGGACCTTCACGTAAATCAAAACATTGGAGTGCATTATTTGGCAAGCTTTCATCCCCAGCCGGATCCATTTCTATGGAAGAATTAGATGAAGAAATATCCACAATTTTCTCAATGTTTAGCCTGCTCAGGAACCATCTTTGTATCTGACATCAAGCAAGAAAGAGAAGAAACATCACCCATAACATTTAGAAAGAATAAGGATTTACTAAAATATATAAGCAATTACCTGTTGCATTTGTATGGCTTTCTTTTCAGTTCGACCATGAGCACTATAGCAAGTAAATGGTTAAAAAGATAAATTAACTTTTATATATTATATGATCATTCATAAAAATTCATCAGAGCTGAGAAATTCAAATCAGTTATGATTTCTTCTTCTAATTTGAACCTCAAAAACTTTTATTGATTTACTCAAACAGAAAGAAGCTAAGAAGAGGTAAAGGTAACATGGGGCTCACTTAAATTCGTCAGCAAGCTTCTGGTGAAAATTTGGATCCGACAATTCATCATTACCCTGCTGGAGCAGCATCTCCATTCGCCTAATCTGTTGGAAAATGGAAAGCAATTCAAAACTATAAAAAAAATATCTGAGATAATAGAGGACTGCAGGTGCCTAGGCAGCTTCATGTCTCACCATGTTGACGCAATACAGAAATATGTTATACTAATACACATGGAACAAACCAACCGCGGTAATTGTAATTTGATGAAACTGAAATATTAGCTCCAAACTAGTTTAGGACCCAAAAAATCATGGTCGTGACTTTCACTGCAATACAGAAAAAAACTGTAAATGCAAAAATAAAAAAGAAATATTTTTTTCTCAGTTTTTACACCATGATAATGATAATATTTTTATTAAATTATATACATTGTTATGATCATTTTGATATATTTACATTTTAGATTTTCTCTCTCTCTCTCTCTCTCTCTCATAAACTAAATTAAATCAATTTTACAAAGTGAAGGGATTAAATTGAGATCAATTTTATATCACAATTTCCATTAATTTCCACCTAAGAAATCATTTGGGATCAATTTTCTATAATTGAGGGACTAAATTAAAGAAATGTGATAATCTAAGCTTAAATTGACCACATAAAAATAGTTGAGGACTATTTTGAACTTCTCTTTGTATATATTGGCATATATAAATTATTTTAATACTAGTATTATTAAACCTATGCTTTATTTGATAAAACCTCTTATAGAATTAATTCATTGTAGACTCAAGTAATACACTGTAGCATCCATTACCTTTTCCACTTCTGCATGCAGTGGCTAATTAGGAAAGCTACGGTTGAGATTGATTTTAAGGACTATTAACATTGCATGAGTGGTAAATGCAAAATAATATGCAAGACTAGCCTAGACAAAGATGGCTTACCCAAACAAGAGTGATTCCTAATAGATAGAGGTTCACTAGGAAGGAATGGGCATAGTCTAAAGTGGACATTGTCTACAATAATGAGAAAATACTCAATGGATATGGTGCATCTGAGGTGTTTAAAGATCAACCTGAGAAAATATGGCATGCTCAGGGTCACAAAATCCAATTAAAAGTGGTTCACCAAGGCAGGGGATCCTAAGTATATAGAGGTCCAAAAAGATAATTGCTTAGCTGCAGGTGGTTCACCTAAGCAAGAAAAGTGAGCTAGCAGATAGGTTATACTTAGGGTGAAGGTTACTCATCTAGAGATATGTTCAAACAGACAGGAGCCTGACCAACACAGCTGCACGGGGAAAGGACCTCTCCTAGGCAAGCAAGTCTACCTATGGAGACAAGGAAATCTAGGAGGAAGTAAACCCCCTAGATCAAGGACTGCTTAAGCAAGTAGAAATTTCTTGAGCTCAAAAGCTTTAAAGACCTAAAGGATTGGGACATGGTCATATCCCCTATAAATTTATGCGTGCAGCGGGCTAAAGGAACTCCTAACCCTAGCTACAGAGAGCAATCTCATGGTGCAACTACATGAGCTATCCTACATGCTATTGAGACCAATAGGACGTGTTATAATAATAATGTAGGGTTAAATCAATGGTGATCAAACCCTGACTTGCAACACTAAGGTTGAAAGAATATTAAGTATATTAAAACTAAGCAATTAAGCATTCACCGTTTCCCGTGCCATGTTCAGGCCTAGGGAAATAGAGAGCTAGAGGGCTAGCGACAAAAGGGGAAGAAGAAAGAAAAAGGAGAGGACGGTTTGATTTGGTAAAAATCAAACTTTTGTATGTTCTTTTGTAAAACAACTTTAAAGCAATGTTGATATGTATTAAAGCTTGTGCGAGGAGAGATTGTCATAAGGTAAAAAATTATTTTGGGGTTATTTTAATTTAGTTTTAGAACTATAATTTATGAAAATTTGTATGATATAAGAAATCTATAAATTTTTATATTGCATATAAAAGATCAAGGTTTCAAGACAGCCAATGTGAGCAAATTTATCATATTATCAATCATCAATTTGGGTAAAATACTCAATCTCTAATTCAACAAACAAATTTATTTTGGCGTTATGCATGTAAATTTTTATATTTATTTAAACTTGAATGTAAGCCATGTACTAGATAGTTTCATATTGCAAAGTACATGTTTATCTCCTGCCATGCATAAATTTTAAAATTATGTAAAGCATATATTTAAAGCTATATTAATATTTTGTTAAATGTGTATTTTCCAAGTAGGACATTTTGAACTTACGAATTACATATTGATGTATAATGTTGATTGGCATATTTGTGATGTATATATTTAAATATTCTTTTATGCAAAATGCTTAAAAAATGTCATATTTGTAGGATAGGTTGGTAATGTTATGTTTTATGATGGCCTATTTAGGTAAGACAATGAACTTGTGAGGTGAGCCCCTATAGAAAGGATGCACAACCCCTTGATATTAAATCAAGGGGTACTTCAATGGCAATATTGATGAGTTACACATGGGCTCCATTGAATTTTATGAAGATAGCGAACGAGGCCCATGACATATGGTGTGGAACTGATATAATCCACTATTATGATGGTCAATAAACCTAAGCATCCATGTATAGCATGTTCTAGGGCTAAGATATGATATTCTATTTTAAGAAATAAATGAAATAAGCAAATCAATGATATATTGTAATTATTCAAGTACATTGAGACTAGTATATTTAACTAGCATAATATATATGGTTGAATATTAATAATTTTCTTAATGATTCCTTCATTAAGATTACATCCATCACATCAACAAACTTTGGACTAAAGTTCTTACTAGTACATTATCTAGGTAGACTAGTAAGGAGGTCGATAATCAAAGAGGTGTTGATGGAGTTGACCGATGAGCATGGTTGGAGATGTCAAGGTAAACTGCTATCTAGGCATATTAGAATTGGGCTCCTCCAGTTGAAACAAGATGTTGCTCGCATTCTAATATTAATAAAGAAAAGAATGAGGAGACTAAAAAGAAAATGATATATATATATATAAGGTTTAATTATATCTGTTTGGGGCTGTTTTGGTTTTGTTGAAAACAAGACAGACAAAGTGATGAGGACATCAAGACATGGAAAGTTTACTAGAGGCGTGACCGTCGATCTACGGCCACGATTACATTTCTCTACTTTTGATTTTCATATTTATTATTGATGTATTATTTTTATTTTATGAAGTTTTATTATGCTTTTCCATTTGTGCTCTTACTTAAGGGCTTAGGTATGTGTAAGCCCAAGGGGCATTATAGTACTTTGTATTTTATCATTGTATGGGCTATTTAAAGCCTCCCTTTTCTTCCTTGAGGGATAATGAATGAATTATAAGAAAATTCATGCACATGTGTTCTTTGAGTTGTGAGAGTTCTAGGAGAGAGCTTTGGAGAGATCCCTAGGAAGGGAAAACGGATCACCCACCAACCTTGGAGACGGCCAGGTTCGTGGTTTGTTTTATCGTTCTTTTTTTTTTTCCTTTCAATCTATTTTCTTCCTAATCGCCGGATTCCCTAACCACCCCACCTTGCTGCCGGCCAACATCTCCCACCACTAAGCCATCCAATCCATCCTCCCTCCACACCCAAAACCGGCCCACCCTCTCCCATCACCACCACCACCTCAAACCCCCCCCCCCCCCCCCCCCCCCCCCCCCAGTCCCCACTACAACCACCGGCCCACTTATCCAACCGAACCCAAGCCCAAGTCGCCGCCCCTTCTCCTTTGGATTTTTCTCTCCATCATTGCTTACAATTACTCCTTTCCTAATTGGGTTGAATAATTTAGGTAACTCAATAACTTTGCAAAATTCAAATTTCTTTGAATTTGAAAAGTTGCATAAAATATCATTCCTGTCTTAGGAAAGTTCCCAAATCCTTTCCTGTTGATTTTAATTTAAATTAGGATGAAATATCTCACCCCAAATTTGATTCCCTGATTTAAGGAAGCATTAAAAGCTTCCTTAAACTCCTCCCTAAGCCATTAAGCCGTCGGCCCCATCTTTATTGAATCCTTGGATTTATTTCCTAAACCCAATCTCAACTCTTGGAAATAATTCAAACCTCTTCTCCCCAAATTCAAATTGTTTCTTAAAATAAATTTCTACTTTAGGAAACTTATCCAATCAAATCCAAATCAAATTTGAATTGGATTGGAATTAATTCCTCCCTCCTTAATTGGAATTCCCAAAGAGGCAAGCAATAACTCCTCTTCCCAAACCCTCCACCTTATGGGTGTTGCCAGCCCCTTGCCTCCCTCCCCGTTTAATTTCTGTCCAAACTTGGAGTAGGGAGATTGAGAGGGAAGCAATTCAAATTCTTAATCCAAATTTCATATTTGAAACCTTTCCTATTTGGTATGGTCTATATTAGGAAAGTATTACCTCCCATTTTAAAAATTCAAAATTGAATTAAAGGAGTGCTGAGTCATAATTCCCCTTCGAACTTCAAGTTACTTGCTGTCCAGAAATTCCTGGATGCTAGCAGAGGCTGTCCTCTCTTCCAAACCTGAGAGAACTGCTGTCCAAGGCCACCTACCTGCTGTCCAGTGATCCCAGCAGGAGTTCCCTGCTGTCCAGCCCCTTGGGGAGCCACCGTTACTGCCTGAAACTGCCCAGAATCGTTGTCCCAGGTTGGCTGCTTTCTGTCCAAAGGTTCGAGCTTGGGTTGTTGCTGTCCGGGCCATCCAAGAAGCCACCAACTGCTGTCCAAGCTTGCGAGAAGATTGAATCTTAGTAAAGGGTGAACTCTTGCCTTCTTGCTTACCTTCCTCGGTGATCATTGCTTGTGGTTTTATTTGATTCATGCAAAATCTTGCCAAGCTATGCTAAAAGCTTAGTATTTGGTAGTAAGTGTGTGAGAGATCTTTCATTGCACTACTCTTATTGTTAGACTATGGATTTCTTGTTGAAACTCATCTCGTATGCAACGTCAAGAGTAATTGTTGTTTTGTAGCTTTTTACTTTTCGCAAGTGACTTGGCCTAAGCTTTTGTTACCGCTCTGTGTTTTATTTCATTGTCTAAATCACCATAAAGCTTTAGTTAACTTGCTCTTAATCATCAAGCGTGCAAAATCTTTATTTAAATCTTATTTTCGTATATGTCATGCATCACAAAGAGAGGAGAGGTATTCAAGTTTACAGAAATAGAAAAAAAAAAAACTAGTGAGATAAAATAAAGTGCAAAAAATATTTGAAAGAGCCAATTGTATCATTTACAGATTTCCTAATTAGAGAAAGGAAATATTTGTTAAAGCACATAGATCATTGTCTCCTTATTTTCTTGCAATCTTATGTCATGTTCTAATGTTCCTCATTACTCTATTGTGCGTGCTTCTTTACCTCATGCTAACATGCCTTTTTGTTGATAATCATATATAAGAGCCTTATCATTGTAGTCATATAGTTTTAGAATTGAATTTCAATCAAAATAAGCACAGGTCCACTAATTTTTTACTTCAATAGAAATGAAGCTGACAAGTCGTAATAGTATGTTAAGATTGTAATCATATCAAGAAATTATTACTATATTGCCAAGAATGATTTTGTGGTCTTACGAGGGCAAGCTACAGACAATTGATGCCTCTGAGTGAATTTCATATGCTTATCCAATATTTTTAAATACTAGGATACTTTATTCTCTCTAGATGCCATAAGCACACATAGATATGAGTATATGACCCTATTTTTATTTTCCCTTTAATATCTCACCTGCATTTACAGATGAGAACATTTGTTACATGTTAGAATTATTCATATATACCTTGCATGTAATATAAATATTCATTGTGCAAATACGCAAATACTTCACATATAAAAGAATATAACCCTTAATCCTCTTGTCCAATATGATTAGATCTTGATGAATCGTTGTATCTTTATCATACCTCATATACTCATATTGGTATATTCATGCTTAATCATTATGTCATTGCAAAGGAAATGTTATTCTAAAGTCAGCCCTAATTTTCCTCTTGAATGCCTCTCCGATATTTCCATGCTCATGACATCCTGCATCTTCCAAAGATGTCTCCTGCTCACAAGCCGAAATCTGCATCAACCTCTATCACATGTCAGCCTCTTCTCCATCGAACCTTCACTGTCAGCCCAAGCATTGGAACACCCACCCAGGCACCAACACCCACCTTAAGAGCTCCTCTCGTGACATTGATGCCTCTTCGTGTCAACAACATGATTTTTTCATGAGTCCTCTTATTGTCACAAGGGAATTAGGGAAATCTCCAATGTTATGCCTCCTCCTGAAGCACATGCATCGCTTGTTGTATATCTGCTATCATTGGTTCTCGGCCTCCAACCAAGGGTGGTGTTTGTAATTGTTTCATAAATGTAGCGCATGGTGGAAGCAACCTATCCTCTCCACCTCCTCTCATCTACCAAGCTCATTTCAGCAATTGCAACATTCAACCTCTCATATCATCCTCAGTACAAAAAAAAATCATCCATTATTAGTCCTATAAATATCCTGAAAAAGTTAGTTGTGTCTCTTCAATTTTTGCTAGTTAGTATGTTTTTGATTGGAGGCCTTTCATTACAATCCACTGAGAATCATCTTTCAAATAAGCTCCTGAGAGAATTCTCAATGGCTCTCCTCAACCCAAGCATATTATTTTAAAATTTGCCAAGGTGGAGGACCATTCTTTCATTTTTTATAAAAATATTGAGAAATATAAGTGATATTTTGATGAGATAAAGCAAATGGTCTTCATTGCTCTTGTATGGATTTTGTTTCCCCACCTTAGGTTACACATGCTCAAGAAATCAATCCTCTACTCTGTTGGTTCAATTTTTTTATATTTGTATGCATGTTGATATACCAAATGTGAATGCATCTAGGCCTTCAATTGCTAGTATGTTGGTGGAAACTGATACTACTAAGAGTTTTTATAATCTTATATAGATTGGTTAATGTCATGATTATTCAACAAGTTTTACGCTGGTTGCCGACTACCTAACGCAACCCTTCACTTTTCACATCCAGGACTTGGAACCTGACAATGACGATATTAAACAGGACACAATTAGCATATGCGTGAAAAGGTTAGAGTAGCTCATGTGAAAGATAAGATTAGAGAGAGTCGCCTTAGATGATTTGGTTACATAAAATGACTACTTACTGATGACCAGGTTAGGATAGTAGATCTATTGGATTTGGCTTATGTTAAGAAAGTTAGAGGTAGACCTAAAAAGGCTTGGTTAGAAAGTATTAGAAATGACCTTTCTTTATTATATTTAAATGAGAATTGAACTCTTCGTAGAACAGAATGGAGAAAAAAGGATTCTTATAGCTAACCCCACGTAGTGGAATAAAGGCTTGATGTTGTTGTTCTTATTGTATACGGATTTGTTTACATAATGGCAGAAGGTCATGTTTGAGAATATTCCAAGATATTACTCACGATGTTACATATTTGGCCATATTCATAGCTCGTACAAAAAAACTAGTAATTTAGAAATGCAACACTAGAATGCTAAAGAGAATGCAATTGACATAGCTTTGGTGAACTAACAGTGCTTGCTCAAGATGATATTGGCCAAGTTAATACTAATACTAAAGACTCTCCGTTCATCACCAATCATTCCAACATTATGGACGCTTAGGGTGTTCCTCTATTGTGTGCACACCTTTGAATCAATTTTCTTCTCTTACTTGTGTGGAGGAGCGTGTTACAGCTTAGGAGGACCTAATCAATAAATTATCAATCCCTAAAACAACTTCTCCTACTTTTTCTTCCATATATTTTGTCTTTCTTGCCTCTTTTGCCATTCCGACACCATTAGGTGCTTTTTTGTGTTTTTCATTCAACTCAGGTAAATTAAGGGAAAAAAAAGCTCATAACAATCATATCCAGCTCTTTTAATGATCAAAAGAAACATAAACTTCTAAAACCAGAGGCCAGTCAATTCTATTTTCTTCAAGCCACCTCGCCAAATTTGTCATTTTCTCGCTTTTAATAGGAAAAGTAAGTTCAAATGGGGTACTTCAGCGACCTTGAGAGCATTTGTCTGTAAGAATAAAAGCGATTCAAATTTCAGAATAGATAGAATTGATCAATTCTCAGTGAGAAAAAAACTTTAAGAAAAAAAATCGAACTGGAGTGTGACTGGCGCCATAAACGGATTAAATAAGAAGGAGCATCAGCAAGTGAATTCAGGTTCACATAGTACACATCTCGCCGATAAAAAACCAAAGCACTTCAACTTGAAAATCAGCCATCGTGAATCAAGTAGAGGGGTGTAAAGGAGCAAAACCTCGGGCCTCGAGAAACGAGCAGCAAGCCTATTTCTTGGCTTTCTCGGAACTCCAACCATCCCCTGAATTACAAAGAAGAGCAAAAAGGAAAAATAAGTGGCAACTCGACGGGAGGGCATAGAAAGCAGAAGGGGGCAAAAGAAAGCAAATGGATTAACAAAATGAAAGCGGGTAAGATGAGAACGAGACAGGCGAACGGGGAACTCAGGTGATGGATGGGAACGGACGGAAAAGACTTCAGGGGAACTCCAGCAGCCTAGTGCTTGATCGAGAACTCAGAACTCCATTTTAAGGCGATATTTTTTCGTGCCGGCGCCACCAGCTAGTCCGATCTTAAGATCCCGTTTGGTCTGATGAAAAAGGAGCGAATAGCCAATGGATCTTTGTAAAATAAAGTGAAAATTTTTTTTTTTTTTAAAATGGGGGCACAAAGCCCGTTACAAGTAAAGTGACTATACCAGCACAAAGGAAAATAGAAAACAAAATTACAAAAGGACTCATAAAAAATGGTCTACATCACAATGGCATTAATGCCCAGATCATAAGAATCCACGAAGCCAACCGAATAGATACTAGTTGCCCAAAGCAAACGCAGTAGGCCAACAAAGCGTCAAAATTTGCAGTCCTGGTTGCCGAACGACCATCCAATGATGCAAAAAGGATGCAAAAAGGATGTAGACCTTGCTCATCATCGTCCTTCAAAACTCCAGTTGCAACCAACCAAAAAAAGACGGGCAATGAAGAAAAGTGACAACCAGTCAAAATCCTGGAGCTCACAACAGTCCAGCAAAAATAAACAGCCAAAAACGGCCACCAACAGCAGAACCCGAAAACATCAGTCCAAAATTTCCCTTAATTTCTCTTTAAGATTTCATAATGCTTTCACTTAATAACTTTAGCTCTAATCACATGAATGATCAAACCTTTCAGTTCAAAATGACTTTTCCTCAAATTGGAGAACCTCCTGCAGTTACGCTCCCTCCAAATCCAATAAACCAAAACAGAAATGGATATATAACAAAAGTTAAGATCATAATTGTTATAGTCCCGGGTGTTGCCAAAAAAATCATAAACTTGAAGCTGATTAGGCCTCAGGTAAAAATTCTCCAAAGAAGGGAAAAGATCAGTAATGATCCGAAACGAAAAATCACATTCAAAGAACAAATGTGAGTGACATTCCCGATTACTACCACATAAAGAGCGAGATGGTGTAGTAGGAATGCCTCTAGCCAACATAATATCAGACGTTTTAAGCTTCCTTTGCAAAGCCATCCAAGCATATGAAGCATATCTCAGCGCATAACATTTGCATATTTTGTCCAACTAACATCCTCCAGATAAGAAAAATAATGATTAGATAAGTGCTTGGAAGACAGAGAAGCAACGCCGTCCCAGCAAATAATCTAATGGTTAGTACTAATCCCAACCATCAGAATATTAGACTTAATGTTATCAGGTAAACCATCCGGGAAATTCCAAGTATTATGAGATATAACATATTTGACCTTCAATAGAGAAAAGTTATGGGGGCAAGATAAATCAGTTAGAGCTTTTTTGTTGCACCACGGGTCCCAAAAAAAGGATAAATTACTATTGTTGTGAACAGCTAAAGAAATAGAGTTCCTAATCACAGCAGCTTTTAAACAGAAAAGTTTCCAAAACTTAGAAGCATTGATGGGAGGAGTTTTCCAGGGGGAGCCAAACTTCTCCCTATACCAAGAGCCAAGCATATTATCACTGTTGTACATCTTAAGGATAAAGAGCAAGCCAAATTATGATAGAGTGCATCAAAAGTTGGCAAGCCCATACCACCCTTGTGCTTAGGTAAAGCCACAGATTTCTAGGATATAAGATGCATTTTCTTCTCCTTAATGTTACCAAAGAAAAGAAACTTGGCAGAAATTTACAAATAAACTTGCAACAAGCTTTAGGTATTATAGCCCCACGTATCCAGTAAGCAATAGTATTAATTATAGTAAACTTTAAAAATTGCACTCTACCAGCAAATGAAAGAAATTTAACCTTCCTACCATCTAATTGATCCTCAATCTTACTCATAAGAGGTTGAAAATGTGCAAGTTTAAGTCTGCCAGTAGTGATCGGGAGACCCAAATAAGTAATGAACTCATCCACATGAGAAATGCCCAGAACAGCAGCTAAATCCAAAGCAAAGCTAGAGTTGAAGTTTTTTGAAGACAGTAAAGTGCTCTTAGCAGGATTAATATGGAGGCCCAAAGCCTTAGAGAAGTAATGCATAATATTATACAGAGCACGAGTATTCTCCCTAGAAGCAACTCCAAAAACCAAGAGATCATCTGCATACATCAGATGATTAATGCTACAGTAGTGAAAAAGTAAAAGTGGATTTAAAATATTTTTAATTTGATGAATCAGCAATTCCCTTTTCAAGGGATTAGCAATCACTGTAGTGAAAAAGTAAAAGTGGCGTATTTAAAATATTTTTTATTTGTAAAAAGAGAATATAAAATTTTAATTTTTTAACTAGAATCTAACCGCTAGCAGAGTAACTAATCCCTCGACGGACCTAGTGGCAACCAGCCCCATAGGTGCCAGACCATGCACTTATTTCCTTCCCATTTAAAGAGTCGTGTCCCTTGGCAGTTGATATTGAGGGCAATGATGACTGGCTCCTGAAGGCAATAGATGGCAGTGACGGCAGCTAATGAGAGGTTTACTATAACAGGCAACCAACAGTGGCCAGCGGCCAACTACTATCACTTTTTAAGTTGTGTATTTGCAATTCATGCAAATCGAAAGAATTTCAAATACGCTCAGAAGGAACTACATCATGATTCTCAAATGCACTTTCAAAATACATTGCATTTGTAATGAAGTCATACAAAACACTTACTTTTGTAAAACCCATAAATTTACTTATACTCAAAATGCAGCGAACTAAATATCCCCTAAATTAATGATAAGTCAAGCTTACTCAAATTTTGCACTAAGAAGTGAATTAGGAGTAATCACTTAAGTTGTGTACTTGTATGCGAGGAAACTTTGATTACCAAATCAGGTTTCATGTGCCTCATAGAATTAGTAATCAGGAAATATGTTATTTGCTTATTTGTTCGAGAAATACACACTGGCACTTTCAAATTAAATAACTCATATTTTTTATAAATACGAGTCGAAATTCATACGGAACAATTATCCAACCTTTCAATCATAGGATCTCCTCAACCCTAATTCTTCAGAACACCTTCATATCCGATGATCGTAAAAAGCATGTTCACACCATGTCAAAGCTTCAATCATAATCACAATCTACCTAACATCATATATATGATGTTAGTAATGGTGCATTTTGTTGTATTATAAACTAACTCAAGGGCATTCTTACCATGATTTTAAATAGTTCACATGTTTATCAATCAACATAATATGCCAAATCTTATTTAGGAGATGAAGCATAACATTGAGCTTATTTGGTTATTAATTTAATTGAACAACATTAATATAATCCCTTTGAATCGACTTGAGATACGTGCTTTACGTTAAAATTTATGTTTGATCGAATATGAATATTGATGGTCCTGATATGCCACCGGAAAATTCATCCTATCCAGTTTGAATCGAATACTTCAAAATTAAATTAAAACCATCAAAACATTGATTTAACAAAATTATAATCAAACTGAACATATCAATTAAAAAGACTCATCAACACTAAATGTGATTTAATCCAACTCTAAATTAGCTTAAATCAAACACATAAGTATAGTTGAAAACTTAATGATATTAATTGAATGACCAAATAAATTTAAGGGGGATTTACATACACACAACTTTATTTCATGCTATTTACATATCTATCACATAAAACATTAATATTACATGTCTAGCACATATAGAACAAATATAAGTGCATAGAATGAAATATTAAAGTTTATGAGATGATATGAGTGGTTGAGATGAAATATATTAGTATATATTTGATATTAAAGCTGTATATGAATGACAGACATGTAATATTAATGTTTTTAATAATATATGTCGCCACGTACTCTTACTCTTTACCGTGCGGCCCGACGACCCCGACCTGGTATTGCTATGTATTGGCTGATTTGTACAAACGGTGGTATTGTTAGGTATTGCTCGGTATTGGTTTGCGATAATGAAAAATACCGCTCTTTCAAGTCCAATGCCGAGTAATACCGAGCAATACCCCGGTTTTGCTAGGTATTGCTCGGTATTGGTCTTGACAGAGCGGTATTTATCGTTATTGTCAAACAATACCTAACAATATCTAACAATCCCTAGCAATACCGAACAATATCTAGCGATATACGAATATAGCAATACCAAGTTACATTTCAGGTCAGATCGTCGAGCCGCGCGATAAAAAATAAGAACATGTGACCACATGTTATTGACTTCCGGACTACGTGAGGACTGAGGTGTGCTGACCTACTAATTGTTTGGAGCAAGCTAATAGTTCTCGAATCTGGATAAAACCTCGAGCACCGAACAGCGATGTTCTCTTCTCGTCGAAGCCCGACCAAGAATCCACGAAGAGTACCACCCTCTCTTCCTCTCTCGCCTTCTCTCTTCCTCTTCTGGTAACTCTTCTGACGTTGCTTTAGGGACAGGCGGAAGAGCCATTGCTGGCAGCGAGTTTGAGGCCGGAGAACTACTTGCCTGGGTTTGTAATCGGGTTCCTCTTAGGGTTGTTCGTAGATTTCGCCGGAGCCAGTCTGCGAAATCCAAAGAGAAAGTCATCGTTTGCCCGGGAAAAGCTGAATCACGCATCGTTTGATGATGGTGGTAATGGGGGCGGCGGCGAGCTTAAGATGGTTTGCTTATTAGGCCTTCAGTACTGATTGCGGTGGTTTGAGTAGTATATTTTTTTTGGTGTTTTCGATATTTTGAGCGGGGGTTATTTACTGGAAAAATGCAGGTGTTGGTTGTTAGGCAAGACTTGAAGATGGGTGCTGGTAAAATCGCTTCTCAGTGTGCTCGTAAGTAAGATTATCACATTATGAACTATTAAGTTATTCAATTACTTTTTAAAATTTTTTTTTTCTGTGCCTCTGTGTTTTGCGGGGGGGGGGGATGTCGGTTCTTTAAGCCTCCCAACAAAGACAACCAATATAGATAGAAAAACCTGAGGGCAAAAGCTTTGTGCCAACCCTACTTGGGGTCTTTTCAGTCGGATGCTATTATTTGAAAAATATTTTTTTTTTTGAAAACTGTTATGAGTTTTATAATTCTGTATAAAAGATCCAACACAGGCTTTCCTATAGCCATCACGCTAGCAGATTTGATGTAAAAATAGTTTCCCATCACATAAATTTCTGAAGAAAACAGAAAAAACATTACTCAACGGAAGTTTGATGAAGATTTGAAAAACAAAATAGTGCAAAAACTGCCCTATGGATAGCCAACATTCGAGAAATGGGAGAAAAGAGAGATCCTAACTCTTTTGAAAGATAAATAAGGGGAGCGGTTCCAAAAGAACATTTTGATCCATCCCCCAATAGGAATTCCTGAGTATTATAAATATTTTTCCTTTTTAAAAAAATCTGACATCATTTTCTTAGCTACCACACTAATAGATTTAGCTTTGAAAACAGCTTCTCACCATATAAGTTTATGAAAAATAATAAAAAATAGTTGTCAAACGAAATTATGACATCAATTTGAAAAGCAAAATTGTGTGAAAGTTGCTCTAAAGATCCTAACATTTTTGAAGGAGATATAAAGGGAGCAATCTCTAAGGAACGTTTGGAGACCTCCCCCAATAGGAATCCTGGAGGCCCAGTCTTAACGAAAAGGCAGTGTATTTAGGTTCATAGAGCAGCTGATCAGGATGCCAGCTAATGGGGAGTGAATGTGGATAGCAACCTGATTAAGAATTTGCTGGCCATAAAGTTCATAAATGCTTCTTCCTTCAACCCAAGGGCCAAAAACAGAAAGTCTCTCTCTCTCTCTCTCTCTCTCTCTCTCTCTCTCCTGCTACTTCATTCAGTATTATGGGTTTATTCCTACTGCAATGGCTTTATGGTAACTAGTAATACAAAATAAATAGGAATTTTGGTTGCTTTTGCCTGCAGCTAATTTTTTTAATTATTATCACATGGACATAAAGTTTGCTTTCTTTGTGTTTTTGTGAAGTGATTTTGTGATGTTACTCTTGCTGATTTGCAGATGCAGCCACTGGAATGTATGCGGAGTTATTGCAAAGGTGCCGTTTAGGTTTGCAAATCTTGAGTTTGCTAATTAGCTTTAGATTGTTGGTATTATTTTTCATGAAATTCATTTTATCAACCTTGCAGCAATACAAAAATTATTATCCAATAAATCACTTAAGCTCTTGTCATGATTTTAAAACATGTGTATAACTTGCACGAAGAAAGGGATTAGAATAATGATAGGTGTCTACTAGAAGATACATCTTGGATGCTATCATCAAGTATGTGAGCCCCTCTAAGGGAGCACTCATTTTGTAACCATCTATACCTTGACACTACAACAAGAATTTTTAGCTATAGTGATATTTTCTTTAAGTAATGTGTCTTAATATAAAATATATTTTTTTTCAAAAAAATGCAACCAAAAGTATATTTGGCCGTCTTATTGATGTGAAACCCTTAGGAATTGCATTAGAGATTATAAAGAAAATTGATTAAGCGTTGTAATATAAACTAGTGTTTCACAAGATTGGATGCTTAGAACTTAAGGATATCAATAATGTAAGGGCAATTAGTTACAAAGTAGAGTGACTTTCACTTGAAAAACAATTTCATTCATAACGATAAGCCTAAATACTATAAACAAGAAATCTCACAATTAACAATTAGAAAATTCACTTTTGAGTTTCCCTCACTCACGCTCTTTAATAGGGGCTAGCGGAAAGAGAGTCTCAACAAACCGAATGATGCCACCCAAGTTGTGAAGACGCCTATGGTTCCAATCCAACGAAAGTTCATCGGAGGAGTTGTGTGAGGACGATCGGTGGTTCGCCAATGCCTGGTTGGAGGGTTGTATGCTCTTTTCCTCTTAGAGATTCCAATCATGAGAAGAGCTAACCCAAGAGATCAGAGAGGGAGGGGTCAGCTAAAGAGGAAGAGGGAACTTCTTGGCCAAATTAGGGTTAGGATTGAGGTAGGAGGAAAAGGAGAATAAATCTGAAATTAAATTCAGATTTTGGAATTAATTAGTGGGAGGGAAATATGAATATGAATATGAATTTCAAATCCAAACTTAGGTAGTGTTAATGTGGAGAGAGAAAAGAAAAAAGGAAGGGTTTCAATAGGGGGGCCGGCGGCATGCATAGAGAAAGAGGGAGATGGGGAGGGAAATTAATGCTTCTTAATGCATTAATCCAATTTAGGAAAAGGATAATGAATTCCAATCTAATTTAATATTAAATTAGATTTAAATTGAAAAACTTTCCTAATTTAACTTGGCTAATTTAGGAAAGTATTTGAAATTCAAATTTGAATTTCAAATTGGATGAAATCTTTCCAAAATTATGTAGGCTAAATTAGGTAGGTCTTAATGGTGATTAAAATCAACATTAAGAGGGGAAGAAAGGGGGTGGCTGGCGTCGGGACTGGAAGAGGGGAATTTGGCTGGTGGGAGGAGGAATGGAGGAGAGGCCGACAATTTAATGGGAGGTGGGGAGGGGCCTGTAGGGAAAAGGTTGTTCAGCGGTTGTGGGAAAATGAAGGGGGAAGGGTGGCCGTCGTGTGAGGGAAATTGGGGAGGCCGGCGGTGAAGCAAGAGGAGTCGGACCACAAGCCCCGGACACGACCAGCAACTGGTGGGTATTGCTTTGCGCACACCTTGGGACTTCACTATTCAAGAACTCACAAGCTCTAGAGAGAAAATAGAAATTTTATTTCATTCACCAATAATTCTCATACAAAGGTTAAGACCTTATATATAGGCCTTTCAAATAACTAGAAAGAAAAGTCAGGAATGCCCTCAGGGTTACAACTCACAACATATAATAAAGAAGGGTACAAATGGTAAAACTCAAATAAAATTACTAATACATAACATATATAAAAAATAAAGATTCCTAATCGTAGTCGTCGATCTACAATGCTTCCGACGATAAACATTATGGAATCTCTTGCTGACGTCCACATCACTTATAGTTCACTTCATGTCTATGCGCCCGACAAAGTGTTCTGTTGGAGGGAAATTTAAATCATTGATTATTGATTTTGGAGGGAAGGGGTTGACCAATCAAGCTTTGTTTTGTGTGTTCGACAGGCAATGATACACCAACACACCTTAAAAGTGAGTGCAGTGTCGTACACGGACACGTGCCCAACATATATGGGACATGTGTTGAACACGGCCGAAGCGAGTTTGATTAAAATAATATTTAAATTTAAACGGATTCGCGTATCATAAATTTTTGATAATTAAATTTATTTAAATTACAAAATTTTTACATTTTAATATTATTTTAATCAAATAAAACATGTTTAGGCAACCAGGTGAGCCGTGTATCCCTCCCATATTCACGTGCTCATATGCTTTAGGGTTTCACTTTTAACCATTGTTCTCCCTCGTCTTTTTCGTTTATGGAAACAAGCGAGCTGGTTGAGCGAAGATTTAAGCTTGGAACCTCCCCTTTCTCTCGTATTCTTTGTCAGCTCTTCTTCTCCTCGACTCTTCGTCATTTTTGTGACGAGGCGAGGCCAATCGAGCAATTGATTGCTTTAGTTTAAGCCAAGTACGTCCGACTACAGCCGATCTCTCGTCATTCTCTTCACTTGTTTAGTTTCTCACTCATTCGTCTCGCCATTTTTGCAGTCACCGAGGGCATTGAAGGGTTTCAACTTTTGTGTTTCCTATGTCGAGCCAGAGGTGAGAGATTGAGGCATTACGTTCGATTAGAGACTTAGAGTATAGATTATATGCTTCTTTATTTTCGAAAGCAAGTGATCAAACTATTTGAATGTAAAATTTTATTACTTTTTTTATCATATCAAATAGCTTCTTGATATAAAGTACAAATGTTAGTTTTGTGTGGAATCTGATTGTGTCGATCAATCGGATTGCATTGTTGACTCTGACCTCAATTGCGTTGGTCGAGCTCATCGGGGGTCTCCCCTTGCTTTGGCTTCGGGGGCTGCGTTGAGAAATTTTTTTCCCGTACAACCGTATAATGTTGCGGCGTTGGAGTGTTTGGTTGGAGATTGAGAGCAAAGCGTTGCGATGCTGTAGGTTGTAGTGCCATGGCCCTATAACTTGGGCTGGAGACGAAGAGTGGAGCGCCGTTGCACTCTAAATCCCGGTGCTGCAATTTTGGCTGGACAAATTTTTTTTTCTCATTTTTCATGTTTAACTTGAAGGGGTGTGTCCCTTGGGTTCGTTTATGAGCATCTCTTTGTTAGTTCTATGTAGAATGGTGTATAAAGAGTGAAAAGAAATAAGGAGAGAGTGAGAGAGAAAGATATATGCATACTTTCTTCTATTTTCGTAGTGGATTTCTTGGTGTGGTATTGTGGTGGTGTGACTTAATGATTTTTTCTCTTGATTTTGGATTTTTTCACATTAAATCTTGGTGTTCTTTCTTTTTTGTTGTATTTTCTCTTTTTTGTTTGTTTCGTTGTGTGGTTTTATTCCCAACAACGGACCAAATGACCAAGTTTGTAATTGAGCTATTATAATTTCTATTATTGAAAGTTTGGAGTGGCGCTCCTTATTGCTATGAATGTTCCTTTTTCATTCGCTTAAGTGTATTTTGGTCATTTAGAATTATTTGACTGAGAATACGGGGCGACACTAAGGCTCTTAGAACTAAGGCACCAAAGAGTAGATTGTGCCAAAGTATAGGGCCTAATTATAATTCACAATTAACATAAACATGTTAACTAATATGATTGATATATTTTGCATTGTAATATCAAATGTAATGTGTTCTATAGGGTGGCAATGTTTTTCAAACTATTTATTATTTTATAACTTTTTAATCTTGGATTGTTTAGTCTACATGGATGAGAAAAGTGGAGAGTTGCGTTAGGTAGTCGACAATCAGCATAAAACTTGTCGAATAATCATGACATGAATTCTTAAAAAAATTGTGTTAATGCTAGGACGTCCACTGGAAGCGATGCACTGTATGGCCTAAACACAACGACAAGTGTGCAAGGGCCACTGCACCGGCGCCTGGGTGCAGTGTTAAATAGACAAGGGTTCCCACATCAAGGACGGATGTAGGCAAAGAAGCTAGTCCATGCAACTAAAATTATGATAGGAACTTGGAATATAGGCTCCCTTACAGAAAAATTAATGAAATTAATAGATATTATGATTCTTAGAAAGATAAATATTCCGTGCATTCAAGAAACTAAATGAGTTGGAGAGAAGACTAAGGAGATTGATAGTTTATGTTATAAACTATGGTATTCGAGTATGAGTCATTACTAGAAATTGTGTAGGTGTGATTATAGATAAGAGTTTGAAAGATAATGTTATAAAAATTGAAGATATAATTATAGATTTAAAGATTGTTGTTGATGCTAAGATTGTTAATATTATAAGTGCTTATGCTCCTTAAGTAGGTTTGGATATGAGTTCAAAATTAAAATATTGGAATGCCTTAGAAGAACTAATACAAAAGATACCTCTTGAAGAAAGAGTTTTTTATTGGAGGAGATTTAAATGTACATGTTGGTAGAGAGCTATGATGCACCGACACGGACACGGTGACACGGACACGACACGACACGGACACGACACGGACATGGGATGCATCAATTTTTAAAAATATAGGACACGGGTGTGGCGTGGACACGACATAATAATTTTTTAATATAATATATAAAAATTAAGGTGACATTATAGTAAAAATATCAAGCAATAATAAATCAATTTCATGATAACTTGTTTAGCTTATAACATAAAGATGTTTAGTACAAAATGTCTAGTACAAACACAAAAATATAAGAAAAAAATCATTTAATACGACATGAAGGTCTAACTATTCAATAGAGGGAATGATAAAATTAGATTCAGATGTTGGTCTTTGGCCTTCAATATCATCATCATTGAATATCATTGTTTTCAATTCTAGTTCATCTAGTGAAATATTTGCAACCTCCAATAATCCCATATCATCAAGGCACTCGAATCCATCTCCATCAACATCCCACATCTTGTTCACTTGTCATATAAAGTGGGGTTTTCTTTGATAGAAGACGAAGATTTGTATGCACATAAACTAAATCTTCAGCACGTTCTGGAGTTATTTTATTCCTCTTCATTGATTGAATAAATGAGTATGTGCTCCAATTTCTCTCACAACAGGAAGAGGATGATACTTGACCAAAAAGTTTTATTGCTATTGTTTGAATACGGATTCTCTAGAGGACTACAGGCCACTCCCTTTGTTTTATATACTTCACTTCTAAATGATAAAGCTTGATCAACTTTCACAGATGAGGAAGAAGTGTGAGATGAGCCATGAGTAGATGGCAAAGGTACCTCTTTAGGGAGTGTCTTTTTGATCCTAGATTCAGCTTCATCAACTTGTCTATTCAATTCAATCAACTGCGACGTAGTAATCTTATGACACATTTTTATTCCATGGCCAGAAATTTTAAGTAGATGTGTCATCAACCTAGAATAAGATTCTTTGTAGGTGCCACCACAATAATTGCATTTGAATGACACATTCCCTCCTTCAAATGTTTTTCCTAACTTTGTAACATGAATCCATAATGGCTTATCAGTTTCTACAGATGGTTCTTTTGAACCTTCACCTAATTCACTCCCGCCATCAGCCGAGCTCATTTTGCTAACAAACCAATCATGCATATGAATACATCGAATTAAATTGATATGAAGTGAAATAAAAAAATCACAACATGAATAAAACAATATACTGGTCTGCCGGGGGTCCAAGGGGGCACTTCCCCTAGCGGCTTTCGACCTGTAAGAGTAATTTTGAAGTTTTACTTGTTTTTAAAGTTCGTATGTTGTTTGTATGTGAAGATATTGAGTGGTACTGAGCATGTACCTAGCAGTACCGAGCATATACCTACCAGTATCGAGCATGTATCTAGCAGTACCGAGCATGTACCTACCAGTATCGAGCATGTACCTAGCAGTACCGAGCATGTACCTAGCAGTACCGAGCAGGTACCTACCAATACCGAGCATGTACCTACCAGTACCGAGCATGTACCTAACAGTACCGAGCATGTACCTAACAGTACCGAGCATGTACATAAATTGATTATTTTCTTATAAGAAATGGATATAGTAAAACATAAATTGATTATTTTCTTATAAGAAAATTAGATCATTTAGATTGCAAAGATTATAAAGTTATTCTGAGCGAAAATTTATGTACTCAATATCGATTATTAGTTTTAGACTTTAAGATAAAGAGAGAAAATAAAAAATGATGTAAAACAATTTTCTAGGATTAGATGTTTTTAAAGAATATTAACAAAAGTATTTTTGAGAGTAAGATTTTAGATCTTATGATTTTGTTTGTGCATGAGGATGCTAGTGTTATGTGGGAAAAAGTGGCTAGTGATATTAAATTTTTTGCAAAAGATGTGCTTGTAGTTTCAAAGGGAAAAGCTTTTAATAGTAAAAATAATTGGTGGTGGAATCCAAATGTACAAGAAAAGATAAAAAATAAGAATATTTGTTATAAAAATTAGTTTAGATGTAAAAATTCTGATAATTGGGATAGCTATAAAGAGGCTTGTAAGGAATCTAAGGAAGTTATTTGCGATGCAATGAGTTTAGTTTTTAATGATTTATATAATATATTAGATACTAAGGAGACAGAAAGATATATGTATAAGTTAGCCAAACAAAGATATAGGAGTAGTAAGGATTTAATTCAAGTGAAGTGTATTAAGGATGAAGATCAAAAAGTAGTTTTCTTAAAAGATGATATTCAACAAAGATAGATGAGATATTTTACTAAACTTTTTAATGAAGAATGTGAAAATACGATTGACCTAGTGACCTTAGCACACCCTAAATGAAAATAAAGATTTTTATTTTTATCGGCGTATTAGTAAAATCGAAGTTATATAGGTTTTAAAGAAAATGAAGTGTGGAAAAGCTGTTTGGCCTGATGATATTCCAATAGAGACGTAGAAATGCTTAGCAGATGAAAGAATTTATTGGCTTACTGAATTTTTTAATACTGTTTTGAAAACTAAAAAGATGTCAGATCAATGGAGAATGAGTGTGTTAATTCTTATTTTTAAGAATAAAGGTGATGCACAGGAGTGTGCGAATTATAGAGGAATTAAGTTAGTTTGTCATACTTTAAAACTATGGGAGCGAGCTATGAAACGCAGATTGCGGCGTGATACTAATGTTTCTCAAAATCAAATTGGATTCATGCCGGGTAGGTCTACCATGGAAGCCATACATTTATTGAGAGGTTTGATGGAGAAATATAGAGAGAATAAGGAGGAATTCTATAAGATGGTGGTGAGACCTGCAATGCTTTATGGTGTCGAATGTTTTTCATTAAAAGAGAAGCATAATACCAAGTTAAGTGTTGCAGAGATGAGGATGCTTAGGTGGATGAGTGGATTTACCCTTAGAGATATGATAGGAAATGAGCATATACGTGATAATGTTGGAGTAGCTTCAGTAGAAGATAAGATTAGGGAGAGTTTCCTTAGATGGTTTGGTCACATTAAATGGAGTCCTTCCGATGACCCGGTTAGGAAAGTTGAGATATTAGATTTGACTTATGTTAAGAAAGGTAGAGGTAAACTTAAAATGACTTAATTAGAAAATATTAGAAATGATCTTTCTTTGTTAGATTTAAATAAGAATTTGGCTTTTAACCGGACACAATGGTGATAAAGGATTCATGTAGCCGACCCCATGTAGGTGGGACAAAAGCTTGATGTTGTTGTTGTTGTTGTTGTTGTTGCTGCTGTTTAGTCTACATGGAATGAAGTGCAACTCTTAAAGCCAGCCCTAAATATATTGCTAATGATGCTATTGATGATATGAAATGAATGGAGAATGATGATTTATAAAGTCAACCCTACGTTCTTGTTGTGTTATTTATCTAAAGCTTAAATATTTTGCTTAGCTAAACTTTGTTTACTTTGATTTGTTAGTTGTGCAATTTAACTGAAATTAGGAGCAGACCAGCTTTGCACTTGCTCTTGAATGCTGCTGACTTTCTAATACATATCTTCTCATTCTCTTTATTTGTGCTAGGATTTTACTCTCATTGACTGCTGTATTTATACAATGAGGATTTCTTTCAACAATGTTTGTTGTCTATCTAAATTAATTTTGTCTCTTTTGCCTCCTTTTAAAGCCATCTCTCTCTGTTAAGACAATGGGAACAGTGTGGACAGGCCAAGATTGTAGTCACTTGCAAGAATCAACAAGAAATGTTAGTATTCTTCCTACCTTTTTGTATTTATCCTTTCATGCATTTCCTGAAAATGACTGGTATCTGGATCATTGTTGGAAATGTTGCTTTCTTTAATGTTATATTATGAATTTCTGTTACCAGGAATAGGCTGAAGGGCACGGCTGATCAATATGGCCTTCCCACATTTATCGTTGCTGATGCTGGGCGCACACAGGTTTGCTTCATAAAAAATTCCTATAATTTTATACTCCAATTTAGATATCAACAAACATAAAAAAATTTCATTGACAGAATTAAGTCCTCATTTTTTGGAAGAATGCTGTGCTGTATAACCATTAAACTGGCTTTGATATTTAAAATCTCATCAGGGATCAGTCAGCCATTTTGGCCGATTGTGAGTGCCTTGTTTGACAACTTGCATTTAGTTTTCATACCTTACTGATGAATAAAAATAGGTCACACCTCTCATATCGTTGAGAAAAAGTCAGTAATATTTAGGCTTCATTTGGGACAGCTTTTTTATTGCTTCTTACAACAGATTTTTAGTAAAAAATTAAAATTTTTGTACTAAAAAGCTCTTTTAAGAAGTGACAAGAAAGCCATCCCAAACGAAGCCTTGCTCTATTTTTTTTGGGTAGCTTAGCATCTGTCTTTCAATTCTATGAGAAAGAACAATCATAGATGTTCAGATTTTGTTCAGATTTTTCTTATAATTTGATAGCTTGTTGTACGTTGTTCAATGACCTGATTTTTATATTGATAATGTTTCATCATTATGCAAATATTTTTATTGGCTGCTGTTTTGCAGGTTCAAGCTGGGTCAAAGACAGTTCTTGCCATTGGACCGGGTATGCTTCCAGTATCCTGCTTATACATGTAAATTAATTTATTTTTCTCGAAAGACTATTCAAGAAAGGTAGAGATAGATCTAAAAAGACTTGGTTAGAAAATCTTAGAAATTATCTTTCTTTATTAGATTTAAATGAGAATTTGACTTTTAAAAGGACACAATGGCTAAAAAAGATTCATGTAGCCGACTCCACATAGTGGGACAAAGGCTTGATGTTGTTGATGAAAGACTATTCAAGATAAATAAAAATGTTATTTCTTAGCTGATTATTGTGTATATTTATGTTGAGTCATATGCTAGATAGATTATTATTAGATGTTGTTGAATTGTGTAAGTATAAAAGATTACTAAGGAAAACAATGTGCTTCTAAAGACTCGAAAAAGTTAATACTATGAGACAGATTGATTATAAGAAACCTAGAAGTCTTGCACAATAGCAGCAAGCTAAAAAAAAGCTACAGCTTTTAGGATTTTTGGACAAGAGATAAAAGAAAAAAGAGACGAGAGAGCTAAAAACATGAATCTAGGTAGATGTAGTAGAAGAAAAGATAATAGAATCTTAGCTAAAGATGAAGGCGTCAAAGAAAGATAGAGATGCTATTTTGAGAAATTATTAGAGGGGAGTTTCACAGAATAAATTATTTTAGAAGACTATAATGAACAGAATGATGAGGTTTATGTAAAATGGTGAAGTGGTGTTAGCTTGAAGGAGATGGATAAAGATTAAGCTTCAAGTCTCCATGATATATCTATGCTGATTTAAAGTGTTGTTGGGGATATTATAGTAGTTTTGCAAGTAATATTTTCTATATTTTGAATACTAATATAATGAGAAATGATTGGAGAAAAGTATTTAGATAACCAATATTTAAGAAGAACGAAGATGTTCAAGATTGTGATAATTATATATGAATCAAATTTATGCATACAATGAAGCTATGAGAGAGATAAATGGGGTATATTTTTAGAAAATTTTCTCTAGTTTAGGAGAATTAGATTAGTTTTATGCTAGAAGTATCTATCTTGAAAGAAATTTGTGTTTAAGAAATTAATGAGAAAGTTTATGGAGCAGAGAAAAAATCTTCATATGATTTTTATTGATTCTATTAGGGTGTATGCTTGAGTAATACAATAATTGATTTGATTTGCATCAAGGAAGAAAGATATTTGTCAGTGTATGTTCGAGTATTAAAATATGTTTGATGAAGTGACTAATATTGGTGTTTGTGGAGTGTTTAAATAGTTTCCAATTATAATAAGATAATTGCAAGGATCTACGTTGAGTACATATCATAGAGAAGCTTACAAAAGGATATTTAAAGTGAGGTGCTTTGTTATATGTTTTTTGTATATGTTATAATTTTAATTAGTGAGATGTCTGCTGAAATAAGTAGAAATTTAGAATGATAAATATAATGCTTAGAACATATAGAGCTTAGAATTTGAAAGAGTAAAAATCAAGTTTATAAATTTCAATTAGCAAAATGATACTTATTTGTGACAAGTTTATGTAGTAATGTAGAAATATGAAAAACTATTTTGAATTTTATTGCAAAAGTGTAAATGCAATTTACGAAAAAAAAATAAAATAGTCCGAAAAGGAGGGCTGGTGGCTGAGTGAAGGGAGAGTAGTATGTGGATTGCAATTCAGGGGTTAAGAGGGAGAATATATACTAGCTAAGTTCCTCAATGCGTGTGCTCAATGGTTCATATTATGATTGGCTGCATAGCGGGACCTAAGGCTCTTCTACTTGGGGCAAAAATGGGGTTGGGGCGTATGCAAGGAGGAGGTGGAGGAGCATGTCTCATGGTGTGGGACCCCACGATCTTCTACTATTTAAGTATTTTAGATCTATTTTACAAGCAAATAGGAATGTTGATGATGTTATGACTTCTAGAATTATAGTCGGGTAGCTTAAATAGATAAATCTTATAGCAGTATCCTGCAACAAGAGGATACATGGAGACATAAAAGTAAGTTTATAAATTTTAACTTGCACTGACAGTATTATGTAGATTTGATATTTGGGAAAAAAGTTATTGATGGATTAAATTTTTCGTGACAGAAATGAGAATGATATGTTGGTATCATAAAGTTAGAAATGATAAATGAAGGAATTATGAATTTATGATATTAGTGGAATGGTTGAGTGGCTTATCAACATCATCAATCCTTTATCCCACTATGTGGGGTCGGCTACATGAATCTTTTTTCTCCATTGTGCTCTCATTTAAATCTAATAAAGAAAGTTTATTTCTAATATTTTCTAACCAAGTCCTTTCAGTAAGTCAAATCTAATACATATACTTTCCTAACCGGGTCATCGGAAGGCCGCTGTTTTATGTGACCAAACCATCTAAGGCGACTCTCTCTAATTTTATCTTCGATTGGAGCTACTCCAACCTTTTCATGTATATGCTCATTTTGTATCCTGTCTCTTAGAGTAAAGCCACTCATCCACTTGCGCACCCTCATCTCTGCAACACTTAACTTTATATTATGCTTCTTTTTTAATAGCCAACATTCTATACCATAAAGCATTGCAGTTCTAGCCACCATCTTATAAAATTTTCCCTGAAGTTTGAGGGAGACTTTTCTATCACACAACAAGCACGATGCATTCCTCCACTTCAACCATCCAACTTAAATTTTACTAATATATCCCTATCTATTTCACCATTACTCTGAACAATAGACTCAAAATATCTAAAACATTTACTCTTATTAATGACTTGATCACCTAAAGTCATAATCCCCCAACTAGAACTATTATTATTAAAATTACATTCCATATATTCAGTTTTAGATCTACTCAAACGAAAGCCTTTAGACTCTAAGGTTGAGTGACTTATATTGAAAAAAAAATATAGTTGAAAATAGATTTATGTGGTTTGGACATGCGCAACAACTATTAAATAATTTATCCATTAGATGTAGCTCATAAAATTAGTGTCGAAGGATTAAGAAAGAGACCCAAAATAATATGGATGTAAGTTGTTCAAGTTGATTTATGAATAATAACTCTTAACATCTCAGGCGGCACTTATCAGGAACAAATGGAAAACGAGGATTCATAAAGTTGGCCCCAAATAGTTAGAATAAGATAGGGGCGGTGGTTGCTGCAGCTGCTGATGACCTTCATTAGTTGTTGCAGAAAACTCCAAAAGTTGCTTTTTTGATAGATAAAGAATTGTTCCTTTCTAAGTTCGAGGTTCCCATATATTTGGGCGTTAAATATATCTAAGAGGTTTCTTTCGTTCCATTTCCATACTATTTTCAGTTGTGACATATCCCCCATTCTGGATTTACTTTTTTCATTTTACTTGGGCTTGGACATGTTCAATTTTTTTCCTTTGGGAATTGAAAATTGTTAAATTAGCAATTGTTCAATACTACGTATAAAATACAACTGAGTGCTTCTCTGTTTTTACATCATTATATATATGCGTAATCTTACCTATGAACTCTGTATTAATTGGCAGTTGTTCTTACAAAACAGGGAAGAAGGCCGTGGTGGATTCTGTCACTGGCAAACAACGCCTTTTGTAGCGAAGCGCCTCTAAGGTTTTGTTTGAGATGGCTATCTTACAGCTTCTTAAAACAGTTTTTTAGTAAAAAAATTAAAAAATCTATATTAAAAAGATGCTTTAAAAAATAGTAAAAAGCCGTCCCAAACGAAGCATTCTAAATGCTTGTAATATTTCACTTGCTTTCATTTTTTAAATCCTATGTTATTGTATATTTGCTGCTTACTCTTTTGTATAGTTTATTATGACATTAAAAAATTCCACATTTCATATTAAACATTTGATTGCCTTCAGACTTGGGTAGTGAGATGGGTAGCAAACAAGGGAAATTTTGCTTTGAAGAGACTTTTGTGGAGAAAACTAGCTGGGGCACATGAACAAACTGCCTTACCTCCCACACAGGCTTTGGCTAAGTACTAGAGTTGTTCCTTTTGAAAGACATGTACCAATTGATTTTTTTCTTTTCTCGCATTTGCATGAATGTTTTTTATTTTTTATTTTTGGGATATTTGGGGCAATTAAGGTAGATTCACACAAACATCACATATACAAAATTCGAACTCAAGACCTCTTAGTTGATAGCTTAGGCTCCTAATCAACAGACCAAGGTGAGCTGTGTTTTGCATGAATATTTTAATCACTTAATTCTTGTTCTACATTTCTCCATCATCATCAGTAGCTGCATCCCAACTATTTGATGTTGATTTTGAGTTTTTATTTTGTTATTGAGAAAAGCATCAAGATGGTCTCTCAACTCTTTATGAAAGATCAAAATAATCCTTCATCGGTTATATTAAATGATTATTTTGGTACATCAACTCAAAGAGAAATCAAGGTAGTCCTCCTATAAGAGTATTTGGGTCCCTTAAGTCTTTGAAGATGTACTAAAATAGTTCATCTATAAGACTGTTTGATTCCTCTTTCAAGATTTGAGGGATCAAAATAGTCGTTTAATATAGTTGGGTATCATTTGATCATTCATAAAAAGTCAAGAGATCATTTTGATCATTTTTTCTATTTTTTATCCTTCGTTGTAAGTCTATTCACTTATGTCTATTTTTCAGTACAAGTCATTCTAATTGTACCTCGAATATCATCTTTCTTTAATTTACTTCTCATAGTTCTTCCATCCATCTTTTTTAATATTCTCATTTTTGCCACACTCAACTTAGCTATCAATAATTTTGTTCTTAATCAACACTCGGATCTATTCAAAATAGCCATCCTAATTGCTTCTCTTTATTTAGGCATCGTTTGAGATAGCTTTGTTGCTGCTTTCTAAATCAATTTTTTAGTTAAAAAATTTTGTGAATTATAAATTTTTGTACTAAAAAGTCGTTTTAGAAAGTAACACATACGGTGTACCAAATGAAGCCTTAAGTATGCATGAAAGTTGTAATACTGTGCTGTCTAATTTTTAAATAATATATAAGAACAATATGTATTCTTTTAATATTTCTGGTTCCTTTATGATTCCTTGGTTGATTGGGAACATGAATTGTTAATGTAGATTGGTCTTTTTATGAACAATAAAATGACAATTTGCACAATAAAATATACAACCAAGGAATCAGAAAGGAAATAGAAATAAATAACATATATTTTTATATGCTTTAGCCTCAAATTTGGCCTATGTTTGTAATAATCCAAACTCTCAACTTTCTAAATATTTGTTCGTTACGGCCTAATAGCATCACCGTTGTCTCATTGGTGTAACATTTTAGGAGGTTATTCATTCTAGAACTGTTCTGATACGAGCACGTTTAATTTTGAAGTTTTTACTAAACATTCAACCAATACATCAAAGGCACATTGATGTTTAAGAGTTTAATTTTATTTTTTAAAAGGGTTTTATAAATTTCTCCGCTTATATAATTGATATCCTTATCAGTTTCCTTAGCTCAGAATTATCACCATGCAAATAGTATTTTATAGTTACATATCCTATTTTAGATAGGATACGAAATGAGCATATACGTGAAAAGGTTGGAGTAGCTCCAGTAGAAGATAAGATTAGAGAGAGTCGCCTTAGATGGTTTGGTCACATAAAAAGACGGCCTTCCGATGACCCGGTTAGGAGAGTAGAGGTATTAGATTTGACTTGTGTTAAGAAAGGTAGGGGTAGACCTAAACAGACTTGGTTAGAAAATATTAGGAATGACCTTTCTTTATTAGATTTAAACGAGAATTTGACTTTTAATAGGACACAATGGAGAAAAAGGATTCATGTAGCCGACCCCACGTAGTGGGATAAAGGCTTGATGTTGTTGTTGTTGTTGTTGTTGTATATCCTATCTTTCCGTTGGTTTATTGCTCTGAAAATTTTTTTAATAGCCCAAACTCTTAACTATTGATACATTATTCGTTTTGGCCCAATAGCTTCTTATTGTTATGGAGATGGAATTAAGCGCATATTCCTCTGACCAGCATGTGGTCTGTTATGCTGCGGCAAGGCTTTCTTTACTTAGTCTGCACATGTTCTGTTATAACAAACTTTGTACTGAAGCTTTCTGTTTCAGCTATATATATGTATTACTGTGCTGTAGACTGGTTAGCTAATGAAAGCATTATTCAGCTCAATTTCTCTGTATCTATTCTTCACTATTCTCTTCTATGTTTCTGCATTGTTAGCAGTTTAGATTTCCTTTCATGGTATCAGAGCAGTAGTATCCTGCTGTTCATCATGAGTTCATCATCATCAGCATCTTCAACGGTTCAGCCGATCAAAGCAGTTGCTACCGTAGGTATGCTGGAAGCTACAGTTCCGTCGCAGCTTAAATTTTTGATGTCAAATGTGAAAAATGTCATTGCAAATCCGTTGACAGCAGATAATTATCCAACCTGGAAATCACAAATTGTAAAACTTTTTCGTGCAAATGGTTGTGACGGTTTTCTCGATGGTACAGCTCATTGCCCAGATAAGTTTCTTTCTGATTCAAGTGGTTCTCCGGTTTTAAATCCACAATATACTACCTGGGTTCTTATCGATCAGAACTTGGCAGCCGCTCTTTACTCTGTGATTTCTCCTGCTATACTTCCTTATGTATTAGCGCTCGACCATTGCACCGAAATTTGGACGACCATTGGCAAGCGTCTTCAGTCTTCTACTTGTTCGAGGATTATGCAGTTGAAGAACGAACTACAGCATCTCACTATGAAAGATAAGTCCATGACTCAATATTTACTGGAAATTAAATCAAAGGTGGATTCTCTTGCTGCTGCCGGAGCGTCATTGGACTCGGAAGAAGTTATTCATCATACACTGAATGGATTGCCGGCGACATATCAGGCATTTAAAACAGCCATTCACACGAATCTCCAACCACTTTCGTTGGATGATCTCTACACGTTATTGTGTAGTGAAGAGTTGAATTTAGCTCATGAACTCACTCGAGAGATGAATTCGCTGCAGCTTACTCCTCCGACCACCGCTCTTGTTGCTTCGCGTGGTCGTGGAAGAGGTCGTTTCAACACCTCTCGTGGTCGACCTGTTTCACTGCCCAAGTCGACTTCCAATGCTGCTTCTAGCAACCGTGGTGGCCGATCATCCAGACCATTTGTTGCTTGCCAAATTTGCGGCAAGCCAGGTCATACAGCAGTTCGCTGCTGGTATCGGCATGACCCTCAATATTCAAGTGACCCGCCAAACTCTGCTCTGTTTTCTCCAGCAAATGCAACGCCTGCAACTGAGTGGTATATGGATACCGGGCTTCATCTCATCTTACGTCCGATCCCAATCTTCTTCAATCGTCTCAGTCTTACACTGGCACGAATCAAGTTGTCCTTGGCAATGGCCAGCAACTTCCTATTTAAACCACCGGTAATGGTATTCTCCCTACTCCGGCAGGTAGTTTGTAATTATCGCAACTTCATTTTATTCCAAATTTGTCCTTTAATCTTCTCTCTGTTCACCGTTTAGCTGCTGATAATCACTGTGATATTTCATTTTCTCCTCATGGTTACTTCATTAAGGATCGGAGGACGCAGCGGCTTCTTCTTCAGGGACCCTATATTAATGGGCTCTATCCCGTTTCCTCTGCTTCAATCGCACCATCCCAGTCGTCGTCGTTAGTTCTCTTCTCTGTGCAAGTTGTTCCCGATCTTTGGCATCGTAGATTGGGGCATCCTTCGGCTCGCACGTTATCTTCTCTTGCAAAGCAATGTCCTTATATTCATCCAAATGTAACCGTCTCTGTTTGTCATGTTTGTCAAATGGCCAAGAGCCATCGTCTTCCCTTTGTTCAATCTTTAAATCGTTGTAACGAGTCATTTGCTTTAATACATTCTGATATATGGGGTCCGTCTCCCATTTTTTCTGTCTCTGGTTATCGTTATTACATAGTATTCGTTGATGATTTCTCTCGGTTTGTATGGGTTTATCCTCTACTCAAGAAATCTGATGCGTTTAATAAATTTTGTGAATTTAAACGTCTGGTTGAATGTCAATTCAACACCTCTATCAAAGCTTTCCGCACGGATGGAGGTGGTGAATATTTGAATCATCAATTTCAAACCTATCTGAAACATTGTGGCATCCTTCACCAATATTCGTGTCCTTACACACCTTCTCAAAATGGTGTCGCTGAGCGTAAACATCGTCACCTTTCTGAAATGGTTCGTTCTCTCTTGTTTGCAGCACATTTACCTCAATATTTATGGGTTGAAGCACTCCTTACTGCTGCACATTTAATTAACTGCTTGCCCTCTTCTAATACTTCAAATATTTCTCCTTATGAGCTGCTTTATAATACACCTCCTTCATATACTCATCTCAAGGTGTTTGGTTGTTTATGCTACCCCTGGCTTCGTCCATATAGTTCTAACAAACTCTCTCCATTCTCTCGTTCCTGTGTTTTTCTTGGCTATGCATTTCCTCAAAAAGGCTATCGTTGTCTTGACATTGCTACACATAAACTCTACATCTCTTGTCACGTCGTGTTTAATGAATCTGTCTATCCCTTTTCTTCTCCTACATCAGCTACTGTTTCTGATGTTTCTCCACCTAACATTCCACCCTTATTACTAGTTCCTACAGCTCACACATCTATGTGTGATACTCCAATTCGGTCTTCTCAACCGTCTCTGTCTTAATCACCAAAGTCCCTCTCAAGTTCTATTCCAGCTTCAAGTAGTTCTTTATCTGCTGCTCACACCTCTATTTCTTCACAATCTGTCCCACTTCCAACTCCTCCCTCTGTGCATCCCATGCTTACCCGACTTAAGCATGGCATTCTCAAACCCAAGCCAATCTTTAATTTGGCTCATATTGTCCATCCCGAAGATCCTACCACTTTTTTGCAGGCCTCCAAATTAGAACACTGGCGGAAGGCTATGTCTATGGAATTTCAAGCACTTCAATTACAAGGTACATGGGATCTTGTACCACCTTCAACAGCATATAATGTGCTTGGTTGCAAATGGGTTTATCGTACCAAACTTCATTCTGATGGTTCAGTGGCTCGATACAAAGCCCGTTTGGTCGCCCAAGGATTTAATCAAGCTCTTGGTTTGGATTATCAGGAAACGTTTAGTCCTGTCGCGAAGATGCCCATGGTTCGCGTGTTTATCCTGGTTGCTATTCATCATTCTTGGCCCATTGCTCAGCTGGATATCTCAAATGCTTTTCTCCACGGTCAGCTTACTGAACGAGTATATATGCAACAGCCTCCGGGGTTTGTTGACTCAGCTCATCCCGATTACATTTGCAGTCTTAAGAAAGCTCTTTACGGCTTAAAACAGTCCCCAAGACAATGGTATGCTACGTTGTCTACCCATCTTCAACAATTTGGTTTCAAATTCAGTGCAGCTGATCCTTCCTTAATGGTATATCACTCCGGCTCCAGCTCTCTTTACATTTTAATATACGTAGATGATATTTTGTTGACTGGCAATGATAAGGTTATCATGGATAAACTGCTTACAAGTTTAAAAGCTACGTTTTCTATGCGCTACCTGAGCAATCTTTCTCAGTTTTTAGGCATTCATGTTACTGCCTTACCTTCTGGCGTTCATTTAAATCAGACGTTATATGCTTGTTCAATTGTTCAGAAGGCTGGAATGGAAAACAGTAAAATTGTTTCGACACCTAGCAGCTTAAAGTCTGCTATTTCCTCTGACCGTTTGCAGCAGTTTTCTAATCCCGTTCTCTATCGCCAGCTGGCCGGTTCTTTACAGTATTTGACGCTGACTCGTCCTGATATTGCCTTTGCTGTTCAACAAGTTTGTCAGCATATGCATAATCCGTTACAGGTTCACTTTGAGCAACTCAAAAGGTTACTTCGCTATGTTAATGGCACCATCAGCTATGGGCTTTCTCTCTCTCGAGGTTCCATGGAACTCCATTGTTATGCAGATTCTGATTGGGCTGGGGACTCAACTGATCGAAAATCAGTTTCAGGTTATTGCAATTTTATTGGTAATTCTCTCATTTCTTGGCAAGTAAAGAAACAATCTACGGTTGCTCGTTCTTCTACTGAGGCGGAATATCGTTCTTTAGCTACTGCTGCATCCGAAGTTATATGGCTTCGTCGCCTGCTGTCAGATTTTAACTTTCCTCCTCAAGCTCCGACGCCGTTGTATTGTGATAATACGTCGGCTATTGCGCTTGCTAATAACCCCGTATTCCATGCTCGGACGAAGCATATTGAAGTTGATTGTCATTTTATTCGGGATTGCATTCAAACCAAACAAATCATCGTTCATCATCTCGCTACTCAGGATCAAATTGCTGATCTCTTTACTAAAGCTTTACCGATTAAACGATTCAAGCTTCTTTCTAGCAAACTGATTGCAGCAACTGCCTCATCAGTTTGACGGGGCCTGTTATGGAGATGGAATTAAGCGCATATTCCTCTGACCAGCATGTGGTCTGTTATGCTGCGGCAAGGCTTTCTTTACTTAGTCTGCACATGTTCTGTTATAACAAACTTTGTACTGAAGCACTACAGGAAAAATGGCCTATACCGGCGGTTTGAACCGGCGGTTTATAGGCCGTCGGTATTACCGACCGAAGGAACTCCGGCCTCCGACCCCATTCCGACCGCCGCCGACCCCAGTCCGACCGCCGCCGTCCCCAGTCCGACCGCCGCCGACGAGTTTACTCCGACGCCCGACCGCCGACCGATTCTGACCCCAAACAAACCGATTTCTCTTTTAAGGTTATTTTTTATGGTTTTTCTTCACTATTCTCTTCTATGTTTCTACATTGTTAGCAGTTTAGATTTCCTTTCACTTAGTTTTGTACGTTTAGTGTAATTTCTTAAGAGATCGCATGTACTAAATATACTCTTATACGAGCGCACATAACTTTGGAGTTTCCGATGAATTATTTTTTTATTAATTACTTTTTTTTCTAACACAAAAAACAGTCAAAATGCTCACTGAAATAAAGCCTAAGACTTTCCAGAGGCTCATAAAAAATATTGTAAACATTCTAATCTATAAAAGAATGAATCACAAATTATTGCATAAACAAAATCTGAACAAAAATCAAACTACAAATCTTTTTTTTAGCCAACTGAATAGACCCTAAATAAAAAGTGATATAAAAAGAGCAAATTGATTTTGTATCTCTCATAATATGCTTATTTTGATGAATATTCCTCTTATATTTCTTTTTTTATTTGGGCAAATATGTTCAAAAATGCATTTTAGATTAAACTATGGATTTTTTTTTAGGAGCATGTATAATATATATTTTTAATAGTGAGAGCATATAAGTTTTAAAATTTAAAACGTTACAAACAAGTCAAATAAATTGACGCATTTTAAATAATGCACAAAATGATTTGGTGCATTCACCTTGCATGCCACCCCCATTTAGTCGAATTAAATTTCACAGAGCTGTAGCAATGCGCCATACTGAATGGCGCATTCAAGCATTCAATGGAAAGCGCCAAACAATATGGTGCATTTTATTGAATGCCTCAAACTGTTTTGCTTATTCTAAATATATCAAACAGTTTGGTGCATTCAATGAAATGTACTATGATGTTTGGTTACTTTAATTTTTTTTATTTTTTTTAATACGCTACTCCTATTCCTAATTTAAATTAAATGCTTGCTCCTTTAAAAAATCTTTAAAATACCATCAATGCATGTAGAGATTTTTTTCCCTAATTTGGTATCCTTATAAACTAGTTCATACAAGAGAAAAGGCTTGTATTGCCAGGCACGGGAAAGCAGGCGGGAGCGGCGTCATCCAATGCAGATTTGTTGACGATCATCATAGTCCATTCATGCGACGAGGGGGTTTGTCCATGATGATGGGAGAAGATGAAGGAAATTGAGAGATTGGAGCGAAGATGCGGGATATTGTATGTGATATTATTGAAGTTGAGGTTAAACCTCTTCTAAAACTCATCGAGTTTTTCGAGCTTCATTCAAGTCGCTTTGACAAAATAAGCTGTAGATCTACATTGATCAAATTTGAGAGAGGATCGATAACCGTCAAGATCAATTGATGTTAACCGCGAGTGTCTCCTCTCCCTCGCACAATAGTATAAGCCTCTCTCTCTCGTATGAATCATTTCAAATTTGGTTAGAACTCAACTTCCAACTTGGGTCAAATTATTTCCCAATTTATTTGATTGTAAAATTTAATTATCGAATATAATGGATGTATTTTAGTATAAGAAATATTTAGAATATATTTGACCATATATATATATTATATTATATTATTTTTAATAACAGTGGCATTTGTGTAAATAAAGAAACCAGCTTGGTTATACCCAGCACCCTAATAAATACTCGAGAGAGAAACCCTTCGACCTTCTTCCCTCGCCTCTTTGCTCCAATGGCTTCTCGTTTTCGTTCGATTTCGAGGCCCGCATTCTCGTTGCTCAAATCATCTGTCACCCAATCTAGAATCTCCACCGCCTCCGCTTCATCATGCCGTCCCCATTCCATTCCGAGGCAACAACTCGCTGCTTTCTTGCTTGTCCTCGTTCTTCAGCTTCTGAGCCCCACTTTTATCTGATTTGTTTTCCGTCTTCTTTTTAGGGTTTCGCGAGCGGTGCGCTCGTTGCAATCCCTGCTTCCGTTACACACTGCTGTGTCGTCCGCACGGCTGACGTCGAGAATCGGGTTCGACGCGGCGGAGAGTTCGAGATTGCTGTACCAGGGTATGCTCTGGAGATCGATCCCCGGGGTTTGATTCCACTATCTTTTATGTTTCGTTGAGTAAAGCCCTGGATCTTACATCCTTTTTTTTTTTCACTGTTACTTTGTGAGGTGGTTAGTTATCTTGGAGTAATTACTGCCGTTTATTGCTAGCATTTTATTCATTTTGTTGGTTTTTTAATGATATTCGATGTGTGGATTTTTGACTGAAAATTGAAATTATAAATTATGGAGCTGTGGAAGAAAAAAATAAGCTGCTTGATTGGAGGTCGTTAAAAAACTAGCCTTTTGCACCAAACAAGCTTGATTTGTGGAAAATCAAATTCTGTTATTATTCGTAACTTCTTTCTTCTTTTTTTATTTCACTGTCTTAATTTCCTAGTTTACTGGCGGATAACAATATTAGGTTTGATTGGATTCTTTACTCTTTCCGCTGAATCATCTAAAAATCCTAGTTTACTGACGCTGCAGTTGTATTGTTTTAATTGATGAATGCACTGATGCTTTTTCATATCTATAAATAAAATTTCATGAAACTTTCAAGTATGATATCTGAAGTTTGTTTTTTGTGCTATCTTTAAACATGTATCACTACTCTGCATTCGTGTTAACTCAAGATTTTCATTCTTGTTGTATCATAATTTGATTGATGGCTAAACTATTATTTCCTATTTTGATTTTTTTTTTAATAATAGCTTTAAGAGGTCAGTGTGAGGTCTAAAATTCCATGTTAGTATAACAAGGATGATTTGTTAATTAAATTTTCAAGTTAATAATGACTATAAGTCTTGATTCTTTGGGAGTATGAATGAAGGCTCAAGGAATGCTGATGGGATCCATTTTTGCTCGTATTCATAATACATATTTTGTTTTTAGACAATAAAGTTTGTTAATACAACAAGAACCAGTTCATAAGCAAACTTTTAAATGTTATTATGTTTTTAGATCACTTAAATATCATTTGGAGATTCTTATTTGATTCATTGAAAAGAAATGTGTCTATTTTGTTTTTATTTGGCTCATTACCAACCATAGCTTAAATAACTACAAGTCGAGCAACACTAATCTATTTTTGATTTGGGCAGTGTTTGTCTACCATTGATTCAATGAAATTTATATTTAGCTACTTCTCATGCATGATGTGTGGCAATTTAATAATATCATATTACATTAGTTTGTAGCTATCTACTAATTTTTAACTATTTGAGCACTAAGTTAATCAACTTTGGTTGAGTTTGGGGTGGTGGTGGCAGGTGAGGGATGCATATATACATTCTTGCTAAGGCCATTCATTATTTCTTGCAATTGATATCCCCCAAATAAACCATATTTGCGAGGAAAAACTATTAATGTCATGATCAAGATTCTTGCATTAGATAAGTAATTTAGTTGATTGATACCTTGAAGATTGGAGATTCAGGAGGATGGATTTGAGATGAGAAGACTTGTATTTTTTTAATTATCTCTCTATGACACCGAGAACAAGAAAGAATATGAAGACACCAAAATTAACAAAGAATAAAACTAGTCAAACTTAATTTACAATGCTTACAAGAAGCTTTGAACCCTTAAAGGACCAACAAATCTTGACCCCAAATAATGATTCAAACATTGACAAAGAGCAAGCAAACAATAAATGCCCAATATGACATCACATTACCAAAACTAAAATAATGTATTGATGTAGTGGTGGAAATTCCTAACGAATTTGTTGATGATGATTCTTGTTCTCTCCCATTTAATGGAAAATGCAGCTGCTCTTGTTCCTGGTTGAAGAAATGGGGCTAGTTACCACTGGTTTAGCCCTTCCCTATGTTGAAATCAGCACAAGAAAGTTTGGACGGCTTCGCTTGTTGGACTGCTCTTTTCCTGATTTGGGATTCTTGCACGCTCTTGAGTTCCTTGAATTTTACTAGGATCGGTTCTTGCCGCTGGTAGCAAACAGTCGGCAATGTTAATGACTGCAGTATTGTTGTTTGGCAAGATAGTCGGCTGAAACAATGGGGTCAAGAAGACTGATGAAGCATAGAGAACTTCTTGATTATTGCTTTGCCTCAAAGAAGGGACATGGGAAGACTCAGCCCTAGGTTGAGAACTTCTTGATTCTTGAGGAGTAGATCTACTGGAAATCAGTCCTGTAGTGGTTGACAGGAGGTTCCAGAGCCGAGAAGGGCAGCTGTTTGTGGGAAAACTGCTGCTACTGGTGGGCTCCTATGGCTGGCCGGTGGTTCCAAGAAAGGAAAACTGCTGCTGCTGGCTGGGAAAACGCCTAAAGAATGGTGGTGGAGAGCCAAGGTGGTGGGATAATGATGTTGGTGAAGTCCCAGACTCCACTATAAACCCTCACTCCTCTTCTCTCAAGTTTAGAGGAAATCAACCCCAAGGAAAAGAGACTTTTTCCTTCTGAAAAAAAAAATCAAAACTTCCTCTCCCATACGAAAAAGAGGCATTTATAGAAACTAAAGAATCCCAAGAAGCAACAAATTATAAACCTACCTCTATTTAATGAAATAATTAAAAACAGAAAATAAAACTTAGGAAATAAAAATAAAATAATAAAATTTATTTAACTAAAATGCTTATAGGTAAAACAAATAAAATCCTATCACTCTATAATACAAAGAGCCAGAGATTGAAAATTACACACTAGGGGTTTTTGCCAAAAAGCCCTGTTGGTTAGGGTTTTGTAAATATCTAACTCGTCTCATACTTAGATGAGTGATTATATCTTGAAAGATTTCGTACAAGCCAGGGTTTGTTTCACACGATAGGACTGATTTAAGTTCCTAGGTTATGTATTGGTTTTTACTTGAAGAGCTCGTAATCTCATCAATGTGCGTAAGACACTGTTGTTGATTGGGTCACACATCACTTAATGATTTAGAGAGGTTTTTACTTGAAGAGCTCATAATCACATTAATGTGCAGAAGACACTTGTTGATTGGGTCACACAACAACACTTGATGATTTGGAGAGCGTAATTGCCTAGGTCATGGATCTCTTTAACCAATTTTTGCTTGCCTCGAATTGCTTTTGATCAACTCAAATATGCTTTTCTGAGAAGCATGTTGAGCTATTTGGTTGAGCCAAACAAGGAAGCTCAATGGTGGTGGAATCAACTTGGTCATGAGCTGTACTCTCTTGAGACATTCGACCAATTTTGACACAAATATATTGGGCTTCAAATTAGATCAAATGCATTTAAGCAAACCTAAACCATCATTTGAAATTATTCATTGATAATTTGGTTGATCAACAGTACCCCACCTCTAGGTCGATTTCATCCAAACAAATAGGTTTGCCAATTTGGCCACTTAGGTCTATCTATGTCTTCGAGTTGGTCAAGCTATTTCAAACAAACAAGCTAGTTTCAATTTAGTTAGACAACTACAGGTTGATTTCATAAAAAACGACAGGTTCACAAATTTAGCCACTTTGGCCTATCTATGATTTATAACCAGTCAATCTATTTCAAACAAACTAGCTAATTTCAACTTAGCCGGACCAGTAGATAATGCAAATGGAAATTTTACTTCGTAAGATATACTTAAAGTAAATTATTAATTAAAAGAAAGACTTGATCTGGCTAGGTCCCTAATGATAAATTGTCCTGAAAATTTTATATTGAAGTTGAAGTAAAAATCTTCTTATGGAATAGTTTGCACTTTGTTCCTTTAGTTGTGCTCCTCGTCCAATGCTTGTATGTTACATGGTGAGGAAACTTAGCTTGCATACTTAAGAGTAGATATTATTTCATAATACATAATTGTTCATACTCAATAAAATAACGAGAGGCTCAACACTTATCTCATTTTTTTTTTTTTGAAGATAACACTTTTCTCATAAATTCTCATTCTTTTTCCTCCAATATTTCATTCTTTCCAATGGCTAATTCATTTCAACTCCTTAGATGCGCCCGCGTCTTTTCTCATTTTAAAACAATTTGTCGGCTCATGAGTTACATCAAATTTGTTTTATTGAGCTAAAGCTTAATTAAACTCCAAGTTATGGGCTACTTGAGCTTGACTCAACTCATATGCACCCCTAGATTCATACATAAAACTTGTAATGCGATAAAATTTGAAAAACACATGTTAAATAAATGTCTGGTTATAAAAAAATTTGGGACTAGAAAAAAATTGGAGCTCTATCTAAAGAAATTATTAGGTATGTGTTATTGAATCTAATAAGAGAGAAGAAAGATAGGAATGAGAAGGGAGAGTGTGATGGAAATAATCTGGGAATGCCTATCATATTTTTTTCTTACTCTTTTTTCACTTTTAATTTTAAAAACTTCTTGTGTGTGAGCACTTTCCATAAAACCTAGCCTCTTTAGCCTGATTATAAGGGGGTCCATATAATTTATTTTATTCCTACTCGAGCAACCAAAACCCTCAAGCTACATGGTCAATATTTGTCGGTTTCCTTCTTCAACAGCTTCTCATGTTTGGATTATCTTGAGTCCTTCCTTCTCCTTGCCCAAGTCTTCCATCATTTAATCTAGAATCTCTATAGATGTCACCCTATCATGTGACCTCTCCCTTTTGAGGCAGCAATTCACTCCATTTCCTCACTTGTCCTTGCTTTTTTCTCAAAGTTCTACTTTTGTTTGATTTGTTTTTAATCTTCAATTTTTGGTTTCACGTGTGGTAAAGCTTGTTGCAACCCCTACTTCAGCTCCATGGTGTGTTGTCTTCTATTCAATTGACATCGCTTCCCTAGATCTACGCAACAAAACGTTTGTGATCTTTTGCTCCATAACATGGTTTGCGGATTGATCCCTGGGTTTGTCCTATGTCCTTTTTGTTTGGTTGAGTAAACCCCTAATTGTTCAATTTTCATCTTTCTTTATTTTTTTTCCTTCCTTTTTCTGTGAATAACTACTTTAAATGAGAATTAGACTCTTAATAGGACACAATTGAAAAAATGATTCCTGTAGCCAATCCTATGTAATGTGATAAATGTTTGAAGTTGTTGTGCTGCTTTTGTTCTTGTGTGAGTAATTATTTAGTTTTGATATGGAGTTGG